AACACCAAAGACCAAAAGAATAAACCTAAAACACCCAGCGGTATGGGTGTAGGCGGTCTAAGGCGATTGAAGGGTAATATTTAAGTTCGAAGGGAGGGGGAGAAGTTAGACGCCGTAGGGTAGCCCGTAGGAAAACCTAAAACAAACAAAATCTTGAGGCCTGAAACAAACAGTATAGCGATTCTCCGGAGTATTTATCTCCGAAGTTCGCCAGTAGCCCGGGTGGGGAGTTCCACTGAACCCAAACAATAGTCTCGTGCCTACAGACGCTTGGTGAATTTTATACTTTAAATCCGGAGCTTACTTGGATCGATATGTGATGGCGGAGTTATCTAGTTTCGACGAGTCAGGCCTATTGGCAAAGCTAGGATTGATTGTAGACGCTAAGTCCGCCGCGAAGGGACTCCGAGGGTCGCTGAGACGATAATTCTGGTACGCTGAGAGGGTGAAGTACAAAACTTGCATTTTCCACTACGCTCCATACATTTTTATGCTATTGGAATGGTTTTGCGCCCGCCCGGAGTTAAATAACGAATATGCTCCGCATCCCACACAATTACTCAGCCTTTGCCCACCGCTATACCATGTCCCATACGATCCTGCCGTGTCCTAGAGGTAGCCTCGACGCGTCAATGTTCGCTTGAAGTGCCTCATCACGCGGTACTGCAGGCTGATCACGTGCGGATTAGCTCCGGCCGCTTGCTGACTGATACGTTCCGTCCGGCCGTCGATTTACGTCCGCTGACTCGGTCGCTTTGACGGACACGAAGGGGCGTGATGACTGGGGAGTGGCAATACCAATGACTCACTGCGACGTGGACCTCCGCCGTTCCCGGAGATAATTAGTCACAAAGGTATTCTTCCGGGTGACTTCGGAGCATCTGGCTGCGGAGATAAATTGTATCGGTGATCTGCGCCTGCCATGAGGACGTTAGAAGGTCCGGAATTAAATCCAGAACCCTTCGTCAGTTACTTGTAGCATACGAGGTTCGACAGGTGGTGTCGAATAAACTTTGGAGGGCATGTATGATGTGTCAAATTCGCAACTTCGGGGGTCAGAAGATCGCTGGGGCTTATCAGCGGCCTTGGTGATAGCAGCAGCACCAGGGATGTCACCTGTCTTGCTCCAAGGTCAGTCCTAGCACCATCTCCCTTACTTATCTGTACACTAGGGATGGAAGGGCATCGACATGCCTTTGTGTGCGCTCCTTTGCTTGCAGCTGTGCTTGTCCCCATACCAGTGCACCTTCGCCTTGCACCACACCTAGCATCTGGCATCTACATCTAGCACCTTATGCCTCAGACCTCGCACCGCACCTCACACCACACCTTGTACTGCACCTGGCACCACCCCTGGCACCTGGCACCTGGCACCTTACTGCACCTTACCGCACCTTACTGCACCTTACCGCACCTTACTGCACCTTACCGCACCTTACCACACCTTACTGCACCTTATGCACCTTACCGACCTTACCTTTCCTTTCCTTAACTTACCCTACTGCACCACACCACAGTGCACTGAGCATTGCTCACTTGCTCCCCCACCTGCTTGCACCTGCTACCTGTGCCCTCTTGGATACACTGGTGTTCTCCGGCCCCCAAAAGTGCTCAACACTGCTCCGCTACGTATCTTCCTAACTTCCCTTTTTGACTTCGCTAACTCTGTCCTCCCGACTCCTAGAGTTTGGGAGATCCCCGGCTTCACCGGTTTGCGTCGTCGGGACACCTAGTTTCTGGGAGTCCCGGCTCAGTCGCAATCTCCAAACTCCCGCTAGGGGGCCCGTTCTCGGCGGGAAGTCCTTCAGGCTTTCTCCCGTAATGCAATGTGCCCACATCACGTGTGACCGGCTAGTGGGAGGAATGCAAGCTCAGGCTGTAGACATGATGTATAGGTAGCTTCGCGACAGGGCATTGACACCACAAAAAAATGATATGACCGCGGCAGGGGTCGAACCTGCAATCTCCTGATGTAAACACATGATCGTAGTCAGACGCGATGCCATTTCGCCACGCGGCCATACTCACGTAATTACTACGTCGTGATACAATAGGACGCGACAACATCCGAGGTGATGGTCTCCGGTCCGCACTCGCTCAGGCCTACATCATGTCCATACGAGAGGATTCCTTCACAGCTCTGCTATCAGCAGGCAGGCTCTTATTGGAGTCGCAGAAGACTCAGACTACCTCGGATCTTAGAGAGGTGCTCCTCAAGCGACTGGTCGAATATTACGGCAAGCTAGGCATTGAAGATGTAGCCCACCAGCTTGAGCGATCTCCACTGGATGAACTCAAGCTGCGGACAGCCGAGGAGGCCTTGAATATCATATCTCGAATCGATAGAGTAATGCGCGGAGATGCTGAAGGTCTTGAGCGTAGCGACGAAGGATCATATGAAGGATCGCGTCCGACTGATGCATCTCAAACCGAGGCCATAGGGTCGAGGGATTTGGCTCAAATACGCACCCTCATATCAATCGTCTTCAAGTGGGGCATTGTGCCTCTTGTCTCCCGTGTTTCAGCTACTTGGCAAATTCAACCTTCACGAGCAGGAGCAAGTATCATCGATCTCACGAATACTCCCCAAGAGTATGAATTACTGTCGTCCCTCCTTACCAGAGTCTTGTCCATGCTATTTCCAAACGGCGTGCATGCTTCGCTATCATCCAGTATGGTATGTGCTATAATTCTTGAACGCCACCTGATCGATGCCTTGGTCTGCTCCTTAACCCTTGGCTGGCTTCCGAAAACTTTGTCTTCTGAGTCAACCCCAACTGTGGATAGTGTCAGGCCTCCTATCATGCGCTTACTTTCCGTGTACGTCCGGCTTGCCTGCTTGCTTGGGCATTGTGCTCACGGTGACTACACTGCTGAGCAGACTGCCTCCTTCTCGCACAATCGAGGCCCTGGGATCCGTGCTTGCCTTCACTCCACCACTTCCCCGGCATGTCATCAAGGTCTGCAGTTCGTTGCTCAGTCAACAACTTCTTCGTCGAGATGGCGTCAGGGCGCTCTTCATGGCCATCTTTACCGAAGAAGAGCTGTCCGGAGAGAGTGCCCCTCTAGTTAAACTGGAGCGCGTCTCTAGAATATTGCGTTCTATACCAGCGCAAATTCAGCCGGAGGTATGTTTGCCGTCGTATACCACTGCGTTGCCGCTGCTTATCTTCTTGTAGGACTATTTTTCGAACATCAGTGACCAGATCATTAGGATGTTCGTGCCAGATGGAGCTCCTTCCCCTCCTCCCTATATCCAGGCGTCAGCCTTTTTCCTTTCTCAGAGCCTGGAGCAGGAAGCTGTACCGAACTATGCTTCGGCTGCGAATACCATGTTGCAGATTTTGCACCGTCCGTTTTCTGGACAGACAGACTTTGAGGGGCCTCGCGATACCATTGGCACGACATTCATGCTCACACCTCGGATTGCTCTATCAGTCCTGGTTAAGATTGTCTCCAATATTGATCCCTCGCCTCTCGTTTTAACCAAGATCCTTTCGCCAATTATCTCTTCATTGTATGCCATCTTAGAGTGCCTAGAATCAAAGAAAACGTCTGATCCCGGGCTCAAGGAAGCTGTTCGTAATCTTCTGAGAACTTGGGGGCGAGTGATCAGCGCTACGGAGGGTTTGGAAACGCTCTGGTCTATCGTCTCGGGCGACGGGGGATACTGGCAAGTAGATCTGAGTGGAGAGATAGTGAGGATAGAGAGGTGCGCACCCCTACAGGACCCGGCCGGCTGGATACCCATCTTCCCCTCTCCAGATCGAATGTCCTACCCTCGCTTTCCCTGCTCACAACAGAGGATCTCAAGCACTTAGACGACGATCACACTTCTGGCGTGGATACGAATATATTCGGTCTGCACCCAGACCCGCCGGTTTTCGTTGCGTTCATCCAGTCCATCAATCGAAGTGACATTACATCGGATATGTTCGTCCGCCTTCTGGATGCCTATCAAGAGTCGAAGAGCGCAGAAGACGCAGATCCAATGCGGTAAGTCGTCGTGTCCCTCTTAAACGAGGAGAGTGATCTTAGAAGCGCTGCAGCACATTGTTATACCTGCAACTGGTCAACCGCATGCAGTTGGTAGTATCATCTAGCGCACCGACTCGCATGCTGTCTGACCATCAGCGCGCCCTTGCTTTCGTGAAGCATGCGCTAGAGGCTGCCTCGCCTTTCGTCAACGGTAAACGGGAAATACGGAAGCCAAGACAACCCGACAGTCATGGTCTAACACTTGAGGACTTGCGAATAGTACCGCAAGAGGATGAAGATGATGTTGGCGAGTCAGATGGTCCATCCGAAACATCTATGGATGAAGAAATGACAGTCACGGCAATCAACCTTCTTTTGTCCCTGCTCGAAGGTGTGGTATCTGTATGCCCCTGCACTCGATGCACGCTGACGTAGATATAGGGAACGAAGACCTTTCGGCAAGGACAGCTCCCGTCTTAACTGAAATATTTTCTCTCTTGGAATCCTTGGTCAACAGCGAGTCTGATACGACTCGCCGGTTAGCAAGTGAGGCTAGATTGGTGATGACAGCACGCCTAGCTTCAACATCAGCCGATACGCAACCTCGTAGGAGGGACCAGCATGAAACACAAGAGGATCCGCGAGAAACATATCAGAAAGCACTCAAGTTGCTTCAAGATCCGATCCTTCCTGTTCGCGCTCATGGTCTACTGCTTCTGCGTCAACTCGTATCTCCGCCACGAGACAGTAGTACGGGATCGGGTAGGCCACCCGTCGACAAGGCTTTGGTGCCTGCTGTTCTGGACATCTTCTTGCAAGCCATCCGCGATGAAGAATCGTACATCTTCCTGAATGGCGTGCAGGGTCTGTCTGCAATGGTCGATGGCTTCGGGAAAGAGGTGCTTAGAGGTTTGTTTAAGATATACACGCATGGTTTGGACGGTCTATCCACCGGTGATCTTACTCAACACGATGTTGATGTCCGCACGAGAGTGGGTGAAGCCCTCAGCCAGGTAATACAGAGATGCGGCGAAGCGCTACCGAGTTATGGTGAGTTGCGTGAGTTCTACAATGACCATCGTCTCAACTATTTTGGGCAGCCGATATCCTCATCCCTCCGCTGTTCAACGTTGTCAGGAATGCCTCTTTACCAACAGCGATTCGAACGTCCGCACTATCACTCTTAGCCACCTGCATAAAGACGAGCACCCTTGCCCTTCTCCTGTACCTGGAAGACCTGTGTTCGGCAATGGTGGATCTCCTGCAACTAGAAGGCAAAGCGGTTGTTATGCCGCAAGTTGAAAACGAACGTGAACCGGTCGACACCATGGATACAAATCCCACGAGCAAACAGAGCAAGCTCCCTCCGTTCCGGCGCGCTGCCCTACATCTGCTTTCCTTGCTCTTGAAGGCGTCTACGGAGCGCATCTACGATCTAGGCAGGGATGCAAATATCTTCCCGAGCACACTAGTGACGCGTACTAGGAATACTTTGCGGTATATATCGTCTACGGATGAGGATGCAGTGGTGAGAGTGATGGCTTGGGAAACACTAGACCAGTTGAATAGCCTCGGGGAGGCAATGATAGGCATCTAATACGGAGTGGAAAGGTTAGACTGCCATCCGTTAGGTACATGTGTGCCCCGTATCTGTCTCGAAAGTAGCGGTTTGGAAGCAGACGAGTCAATGAAGGGCATATCAATCTCCACCCCGTATCTGTCTCAATAGCAGTGGTCTTGAAGCTAATGAGTCAATGAAGGGTGTGCGAGTGGGGGCAATCAAAGGCCCGAACTGGGTATGCATCAGTGGCTCCCGACTGTCTATCAACCGCGCAACGCGTCAGCCAAGAAAGAGGAGTCTATTTACCACACCTGCTACACCTGCGCGCCGACAGCCCTCCCAATCTCGTCGACTCGCCGACGAAAACCTTTCCACTTTGCGCCACCGGCCAGCATCAGCGAAGAGTGGTCATTTGCAACGTCAAGGGCGGTATTGAGCTTTAGGAATGGGTTGGCGACCGAGTGATAGTACGCCATGTGCAGCGCACGAAATATCTGTTGATAGGGCATTCGACATGAGCAAACGAAGACATGGTCAGCCCACTCACTGTTGTAATATCTGCGTCGCGGACGACGGCATCCGAAAGAGCCAGCGCAAGTACGATCTTTACTTTCAATGGCGTAATGTAACCATAGACTGCAGCGTTCTCCATGGAAAAGAGGAGGCCCAGGTAACACTCCGTCGACTTGCCGCCGGAGTTCGCTGCAGACAGAGTGTCATCAGGCATTCGTTCTTACTTTCGTCCTCAGCTAATGTCGCTGACCGCGTTCTTCGAATACATCCAGGCTTGTGTGAGCAAGGTAGTGGTACTTTAGCTGCTCGTCCTTGGACAATGAGAACGTCCGAATCAAAATTGGATGATTCTGCGGGGAAATGAAGGCGACCGCGTTCAACTTTAATTGCGGGGGCATGCCGTAGGCTTCGGAGTCGTCTTGGTTTGTAGCAAGAGTTCAAATGGCGGGTTGCCAAAAATTCGGCGTCCACGGTGGTATTCGACCTGCGTCTCATGCGTTGCACGTGTCTTCTCCTGTTGCATATCCAGTAATCCACTAGCCTCAACCACAACGTCAGATCAACATAACCTCCGAACCTCCAGATGTTGCATAGGCGCCCCAAAAGCGAAAGCAAGGATAACAGGAGATGCTTGAAAGAGCATAAAAGACATCCTTCGGGCCGGGATCGAACCAGCGACATCAAGATCACTCTCACATGAGCGTAGAAGCCATTACAGTCTTGCGCTCTTCCAACTGAGCTACCGAAGGTTAAAGTAAACCGGGTGGAGATGCAACATATAAGCTTCCAGCTAAGCGTCATTGGTACTTGTCGCTACGATGACGTCACGCGTCATTCCCAGGTCCCCGTCGGAATGCCATCCTCTCAGACATGTGATTTGACGCAGCGAGTGTACAGTGTCCTCCGGGTTTCTACTGCAAAAGGCAGACCTGCACGTAGACAGCTTCTCAACTTGAATATACCGAAGGACGTACACGGACGTACACCTCCAGCTGCAGGAGCATCACCGCAACTTCTAGGACGGTCGCCCGCAGAATCATCATGTCAGATTCACTCATCCACTCAATGGCTGGTGCAGCTGGTGGTATAGTTGCAATGACCGCGACATAGCGAGTTTGTTCTCCCACTATGATATTGAGCCACGAATATCTAACCCGCCTTCTCAAGCCCTCTGATCTTCCTTTCCACTCGTGCGGCAGTCGAAACAAAGCATGAACACAAGGTTAGTCCAGTGCAGCCCTGTGGCGAGGCTAGGGCTTGACCACAAGCCACACAGACCACCTACCAAGCGGTTGTGGATATTATCAAGCGAGAAGGGGTGCTTGGCCTATACAGCGGCTTAAACTCTAGCTTGCTAGGCATAGCGATCACCAATGGGTATGCACGCCCACACTGGAACTTGCTTGCTACGTCGTCGCTGACTGCTATCCTTCAGAGCTTATTACTACTTCTATGAGAGGTCGCGAGGCATTATTCTTGCCTCCCGCAAAGGGAGTAAAGCGCTCAGCACCTTGGAGTCTATGTTAGCAGGCGTCATCGCGGGTGAGCCCTCTAGTCCCAGGCTGGTCCTAGGTTTATAAGACATACACCTAGGTTCCGCTACTACTCTCATCAGCAACCCCATCTGGGTCGTCCAAACTTCCCAAGCTACGCGGACGATGGAAGGCTCCCCGGACGTTGCACGCGAAGGCCCCGCCATCAAGAAGCTTAGTATCGTCGAAACCGTTCAGCACATTATGCGCAAAGATGGTATCCAGGCGTTCTGGCGGGGTATCGGTCCCGCGCTAGTCCTTGTCATCAACCCCGTGCTGCAGTACACTGTGTTTGAGCAGTTAAAGAACTTTTTGATCCGGACGAGGACGGCTAAGCTACGAGCCAGCGGCGCTACCACGGCCGTCGCAGTCCTGTCGGATTGGGATTTCTTCTTCTTAGGCGCTCTGTCTAAGCTGAGTGCGTGTCTCTCACCTGTGCCCTTCAGTTCCTTCGTGACGCTTTATCTGCTCTAGTTGCGACGTCATCGACTTATCCCTACATGTACGTACCTTCACGAGAAGCGTCTTGGGCGGCCTCCTCATGTCCTTGTCAGTGTCGTGAAGAGCCGACTGCAAGCCGGTCATGCAAGAGCGCTGAAGTACAAGTCCACGCTCGACGGCATACTGACGATCCTCCGAGAAGAAGGGGTAGAAGGACTATACAGAGGCGTGGGCAGCAAGCTCCTGCAAAGCGTCCTGACCGCCGCCATTCTGTTCGCCTGCCAGAGGAGAATATACGAGATCACCAAAGCGGTAAATAAATATTCCCTTCTCGGAGATCGCTGCCCAAGGCTGATATTCCTTTCAGGCTCTTAACCCTGCACTCGTGAAATAGGAATATGTATGACTACAGCAGACCCTGCATCTTGTACCCTGATCTGAACACTGGACCCTTGATGTTCGACAGCTTGCTTTGTTACTACTGTATATGCGGTAGGATTATCGTCTAATGGTAAAATAGTCTCCCAGGCGGAACCAGCATCCTCAGCGTCATGGGCTTGAGCTACTCCCAGCCAAGCCGCCTTGCAGTTGTGCCAGCAATTGCTTCATCTCCTGAACATCCTCACGGAAGCCGTTGTTGCTGGTTCCCCCGCTGTGTTTAGAGGCGATATGGTAGCCACCTTCGCCGACAGTGGGACGGCCGTCGTCTTGTGCCAACCACTGATCCAGCTGCTCGGAGATTGACTTGGCTTTGAGTCTGAAGTGCGTCCGAACAACGTCCCCGAAGGGCTCTGGAGGTGCCTTGAGGTTCCCAAGCATCTGAGCAGCTCTGAGTCAACACATCCCCTCCGTCAGCAGTGAGTCTTGTGCTTACTGCTGTTTTCACGACCATTCTTCTCACATTCGCAGAGTCTGGAAATCTCAAAATCAAAGATGAAAGGCACTGACGAGATTTCACTCACAAGCCTGTGAATTGACCGAGCCCGCTTCTTGGGACCATCCGGGCTCGTTTACATACGGTTCATCACAGAGGATCATTGATTGGATGGATATGAGAACCTTCCAACGCGACTCAGCAAATTGCGGCATATCATCATCGGAATACCCCGCTGTACCTGAAGTAATGTCGACTTGCCAGGGACCCATCCTGGCCCGCTCCAGGTGCCGAGCAAGGAGAGACAGACTTTACCGTCCTAACGTTACTCACGTCGATCAGTCAGGTAACTAAAAGCGGGTCCACCACCTACCGCATACAGGTTCGGATTGAAGCGGTATTTGCCTCCGTTCGTCTGACCGAGACGGTCAGCATGACCTCGAGAAACAGATCACGAGAGAATTACCGTCATATATTTGACACTGGGCGGTGATTGATTGTAACTCGGCCCTAGGAAGACATCAAATAAAAAGCTGTGAAGAAATAAGCGACAGAGCACGACAAATGTCAAGTGGCCATACCAGCCGTTGTGATAACTGCAGAGGCGAGTTAGTCGCAGTGCTCTCAGGGTGAACAGCTGTATACATACGGAGTACCCTCCGGACCAGTGATCAACGCTTTGATGATATCAACCCTGGTCTCGTCCACTCTCAGAAAGATAGACGAATCCCATGCCACGGGGAGATTGGTTGTGAGCACGGCGAGCTAGAAAAGTTCGTCAAGACGACACGCCGAGAAAACAAGGGATCCCTTACCTCTTTCGCAATCGCGAGGGAACGCTTTGGAATGTTTGAGCTTACCAGCATGCGTGCCTCATTATTGTAGTAGAACTTGTAGTTTGGTGTCTGGTCCGCCTCAGCTTCGTCGGCAGAATTCGGGGAAGGAACGGATAGATCACAATATTCGAATCTGGTCTGAGTAGCCCAGTCCACATAAATATCCTTGAGCGCTTCTTCCGAGGCTCCGGAATCAACATGCACGGTCTCCTTCGAAGCCGGCGAAATGCTCGGTAACGATGCACGCATACGCTCAACAAACGCAGCGCCTTTAGTCTCGAGCAAGAAACGATCTATAGCATCAGCCGTTGCAAGGATGCGCTTGCAGAAACCAAGCAACTTCCGACTGTCCTCAGGTAACTCGACTTCTCTCGCTTTTCCTTTCGAATCGTTCGTAACGCGCTTGGCCTCCTCGGTCATATCGTTGGACTCGACTTCGGCCTGCTGCATTCCCTCCAAACTCTTCATGGCCGCCTGAGCTTGGATCACCAAAGACTCCAGGAGTTCTCTGGGCCCAGAACTGCCTTCGTAAACGATCGTGCGTTCCCTCATGGGACGGCTCCCATTGGTCGCCCTCCTCGTGTTCACGGCCTTTACAGAGGTCGCGACCATAATGGGCATGGCCATCATACTCGCTAAGGCCTCGTGATGAGAGATCGTCTGCGATATGATTGAGTAGAGCGTTTGTCAGCTCTGAAGTGGTACCCACCTCCAACCAGTCAAACAACTCGTGGTATAGGACTGAACGATCAGACATGTCGGAAAGGGAGTCGTTTTTCAAAAGAGAACTGCAGATGTGGTTGAAGCGTCTGCGAAGATGAGCCAAAGTGGTCGGATGAACAAGGTAATCGCTTGTCCGTCCACCACCTGGTCGGCGAAGAGAGGGCAGATACCAACGTACGGCTGTCAAAATATGACCAAGCTTCTCGTCTCTTGCACGCTGTACGGCTTGTGCTTCGACTTGCCCGGTCATCTAGACTCTGTGAGAACAGGAAAACACAAGCAGTCATAATACTTACGTCCTCTCTAACATCTCCGGCATACCCTGTACCGCTCTTGGCCTTTTTGGAAGACATTGTTTTAGTGGATGGATAGTCCTCATCGTCGTCGTCGACGCTGCTAGAGGGAGGGGGAGGAAGTTGCGTTTCTGATTTCCTCTTTTTACTATTCCCTACTGTAGTTGTCTGGTCAGACTTGCCTTCCTGGATTTGGCCGGAGTACATCTGTTCGACAAGGAAGAGTCCGACACCGAGGATGACGCCTTGCAAGTTCGAACAGTGAAATAAGGGATCATCAGAGGTTGTGGTTGTATCCCTAGCAGGTGCAGTGCTGATCGGTTCTCCACAAGCAAGACAATACTGCGTCCGACACTTCTTGCAAGTGTGAGTGACGTTCTTACGGAGCCTCTCTGTGTATTTCTCGAAGTCGACCTAAATATATGCGGTCACTGCATCTGACTCTGGATACTCAACACGGGTGAGGATCCTAGACTTACTGGCAAAGCAAAGAAGTCGCTCTTCTTTCTCAGAATAGCCTCGCCACATTGATGTGGACACGGGCATCGACCCTCGCTTAGCTGCGAGTAGAGGCTGAACAGGAAGCTTTGTTCTGATCCCTCAGGACAACCTTTCATCCACTCCCCCTGAGTCATAATTCTACCGTGTTCGTCCCATTCTGGTACCCGGACAGTCTCCGGTTCCTCTTCTACCTCAATTACCTCCTCACGCCGGTCCTTTGAAAAGAAAATTCCTGAAGACGGTCAGTATTATATGCAGAAGAATCGAAGAATCTTCATGTACCTGCATAGGGATCCGCGTCCGCGAGCGGCTTCCCAGGTTCCTGTTGGAACTCCTCGTCGGAATCATATTCGCCGAACCCGTCCACTATGATGAGAACTTAATGAAGAGCAGATTAAGCATCCGTGTTGGCACATACTATCGTCTGATTCGTCGTCTTCTACACCCATGTCCTCATCATCCTCGGGTGTCTGAAAGTACCCCATGTCCGACAAGTATTGTCAAAGTATTGAACGGACGTACTGCCATCCTCTGAGCCCCCGACACTGTTTCACGCGACAGAGCATTAGCAGCATCATTGTCCTCATCCATAACATTGTCAAATTTTCCGTCGAAGATATGTTCAGCAGCCTGCATGACATCCTTGTATTGCCTCAGGGCTGCTCGCGCCTGGGCGGGTGTGGCACCCTAGCGCGTCGCAGCACGACTTAATACTGCAGGCGTGGTTGCATATGGACCAGCACATACCATTTCCACCAGCTGTCGTACGTCCTTGTCCATAGCTGTGAACCTGAGGCGTCTATGAGCGCAGGAAGTAGAAGCGTTAGGTGTGGCTGTTTCAGGCTCGCTGAAACCTTCTAGCAACTTGGAAGCAAGAACGATCGATACTACTGCATTACGTAAGTAGCGTGCTTCGTTGAATGAAACCGAGAGTTCGATGTGTGGCTTGCGTGAGTGGTCCGAGTCCTAGACTCGTCACAACCCCGCAACCTCCTGCAATCCAATCCCTAACGTTCCAGCATAGTGCTCTAGGAATTTAATATATTTCGAAGGGACAACGAAAGGCGGCCACCCAAGATCCAACTATCTACACCAGACCCGAAAGGGTGTGACCCGACCTTACTCCCCCCGCTCGCGCTATCTGACACTACTCAAAAAATGGAGAGCATAAATTATAAACACAGACGCATATAAATACCATCCAAGCGTCGTATACCTTGTACAGGTACAAAAGGTAACGCCTTCGAAACAAGAAAACCAAGCCTCGTCACAAAAGTCGGAACCTTGGCTGAAGCCGAAAGAAACGACGAGGCCACCAATATACGTCAAAACGAAACACAGTGCGCGTTGATGTAAGCACGGCGCCGCGGAGGCGTCACGGTGACTACAAATTATTCAGAAAGGGGAACAAAGGTATAAGAACAATTACCACGTACAGATATAAGACCAGCCAGATCACAGGGAACATAAAACAGCAGTACTACTCAGACAAAGCATTCCCATCGCATTTAGTCCTTCATCAGCGCCGTGCAGAGGGGCCGGTGCTGCCTCGGTCCTGATCGAAGCCAAGGGGGTACGAGGACAAGTCGCTCGTTAGCGCCAGGGTGTCCAGACTAGCTCGTTGTCTCCCTGCAAAGGTCGACGAAGGAGCAGGGCTATGTTCAAGATCGTTCATGGTATCAATCTGGAAGGGGAACGACCCAAGACCGGTGGACATGGCAGAAGCTTGTGAGACGGTCGACATGCCTAGCGTTCGACGGCTGCTTGTGGGAGGGTTCGAAGGCCGCGCGCGACCTTTACCACTGCCCGACTTCTGCTGACTGTCGGCGCCCGACGTCTTCGTCTTCACGGAAGCATCGGCCTCCTTCGTAAGTGGCGAGTGGGGCGGAGTCCGGGCCGGTCTGTCAGAGATAGGGGACGGCGGGACGAAGGGGAATGACTCGAGGATCGAATCCGCATGGGTAGAAGCCCTGGAAACTACAGAGGTCCCGGAGAACCGCCGTACGTTCTTGCCACCACTGGCTCTCTGTGCCTGAGCTTGGGCCTCAGCATGGGCAAGAGCCCGAAGCTGCTGTTCCTCCAGAGCCCCGGGCTTGGCACCCGACGGGGGAGTGACCAGCCTCCCACTCGTCATTCTATGAATTGTTTTAACAGAGCCCCCTCCGGCGCTGTGGGGGACAGTCTGTTCATACGGGACATTGTGAGGACTCAACTCGCCCAAGCCTACGTTAACTCGGGTGGCACTGCCGAGTTCCGCGATGATAGTCCCAGCCTGGGTACTTACACTCGTTGGACGACTGAAGTCTCCTGACTGAGCCCACGGCAAGCGAGGATCTTCTAGCTCAAGGTGTGATGACCTAGGATCGTCGGAGCAGGGAGTACCAAAAGTCGTGACAGATGCTGAAGGCGACTGTTCATTCTGGCAAGGGATAGCCGATCGCTCATCCTTGAACGGGTCGCTAGCGGCCTCGCTATCAGATTCCTTCACAACGTCGGCAGGTCCGAAGGATGTCGTCGCAAGAGGGGAGCGAACGGAAGGTTTGCTGGCGATAGAATTAGGCTTTAGGCTGCTTGCGCTCATGGGAGTTCCCGGCGTCGAGGCGGGCGCTTGTATCACTTCGGCTTTGACAACGCCGAGCACTTGCCTGATAGCACCCTGAGTAGGCGTTATGATGGTAGGTGCTTCCATGAAGTCACTGGAATAACTGGCATTCGTTGCGGATGTCATCGCAGACATCCTACGCGCAGATATCCCCGAGCGTTCCGATGGCTCGTAAGCACCTCTACTGGGCACAGACTCATTGGATACATTGACATGTTCCAGATTGAGATTGAGGTCGGCAGAACGTCTCGGGCGTATCGGGCTTGCGAAGGATGACGTTGCACTCTGGGAAGATGATCCAGGGGGAACGAGCGCGATGGGGATAACATTCGTGGATTGAGAACCAGTGGATGTCGTCTGTATAGAGTGCCGGTCTGCAAAGGGGTTGGACTGAGTGGAAGTGCGACGTTGCAGGTCACCGCGTTGGGACTCCGGATCCAAGTCGATGGTGCGATCAGAGGAACTGGAGTAGACCCGTACTGTGCTCTGCTCCTGCATGACAGACGGCGGCTTCTCGTTAGGATCGGGTCGGTTAAGGACGTCAGCTGCAGAAGCCGGGACGTCCTTGACTTCCTTAACCTGCTTCGCATCGGCCCTCCGCTTCAGCCAGCGCCTCCTGTACCACACGAAGAAGATGGCAGCAACGGCCAGGAAAAGCATGACACCGACAATGGCTCCTGCTAACGAGCCCTTGCTGATGCCGCCAGAGCCCTTGGAGCCGTTGCCTGAGTTGTTATTTGGGATACATTGCACTGTGGGGCACGTCGTGCAGGTTCTGGGGAGGAGATTAGATGCAAGGTAATGAATGACACGATATGATACACACCTGCCGATTTGAATACAGGTTTCGTCTGCCGCACAGTTGCATGCCGGGGCGTCACCACAGTCGGCGACGAAAGGGCAGTCGTCGGACTGCCTGGGAACAAAAACATGGTTCATGATGAGGAGAAAGCTGAAGGAGCGTGGGGTGTTTTGGTGGATGATGGAGGTCAGCTGCAAAGGCCACCTAGCCTGCAGAGACCAGCAGCGTCCAGGGTAACGTACAAGAGAATGTTGGCCGTGGTGAAGATGAAGCTTGGTTGGGAGGCCAAGGAGACACGGATACGAGGCGTAGCACGGCGCCCTGGTCGCTCTGATGAAACGCCGGCCTGGACTCGGCCACCGCAGAGGGCCGTCTGTCCAATCATCACCTTGAATGATATTCCCACGGCTATTGTTGCTCGTGTACTGCATTGCGTCGCGTCCATCCGTGGATTATCCGACCTCATAGTACGAGCTAGGTACTACTGTAAGTAATTGCAACCGTAGGACATTTATCGCAGTGCCTCATCTGCTGCAGTCCATCCTCTACAAACATGTCTGCGATCTCCGTCAAAAACTTGACCTACTCCCACAAACCCGGCATATCTCCCTCATTAACTGATATAGATCTTGATTTACCGCCAGGGTCACGCACTATACTCATTGGTGCAAATGGAGGTCTGTGTCATACAGCATTCCGCAGTTGAAAATATCTGAATGAGCCCAAGCCGGGAAATCCACTCTTCTACAGATTTTGGCTGGCAAGAGATTGGTCTCAGCGCCAGGAGCAGATATCCGCGTCCAAGGCAAGGATGTCTTCCGTGAATACCTCCACGGTGTCACTTTCCTCGGCACCGAATGGTTCGTGACACCCACCGCCCTGTCCTGGGCCAGCCGCTCACAATGATACAGGGCTATGAACCCGGTCGTGCGCGGTGACATCGTGGTGGCTTCATTCCTCGACTCTGTGGGCGGCTGGAGGTACAAGGAACGCAGGGACGAGCTGCTGGATATTCTCGATGTCGACTTGGACTGGCACATGCATCAGATATCGGATGGAGAACGACGTCGTGTGCAGCTCGTCATGGGTTTAATGCAACCCTGGGATGTCCTGCTTCTGGATGAGGTATGCAATATTTAATCTATCTTTGATGTTGAGATGTGCAGTGGTTTACCGGAGCTGTGCAGGTTACTGTGGACCTTGATGTCCTAGTCCGCGATGACCTACTATCATTCCTCCAAGCCGACAGTGAGAAACGGAATGCCACCATCATTTGTAAGCGTATCTCTTGTGTCGAGCTACGTTTCTGACGCCATCCCTAGATGCAACTCATATATATGATGGGTTGAACAACTTCCCGACTCACATTGCCCATATGCGCTTCGGGAAGATGGTCACTCCTCCTACCTCATGGCCGCCATCCGCGTCTGACGCGCACGCCGTTGACATTACCTCGAAACTCGGACCCAATCCGCTGTTGTACCACACGGCGTTGCAGTGGCTGAAGGAAGATCGAGAACACCGCCGCGAGCTGGAGGCCCAAGGTAGGAAGACTCGAGGTGCACGCAGAAATGAGGTATGTGGATTTCCCTCCTCGACACCCTCTCGCATTCTCAACGGTCAATATAGACTGTACCGTCAGATTCGGAGACGTTCTATAGAAAGTGAGAGCAGCTGTTGTTACCATTCTGACGTCCTTTAATTCTGGGATGTTGCCTTCACAGATACGACTATAGTCATTAACCGCTAATAACAGCGGGGGCGATCCTCCCCAGGAATGCCCAGTCTCAACACCACATCGCGATGCCCCGAGGCCCCCTTAATGAGTTTCAACACCATCATACTGGCTCAACGCTACCCACCGGATGTATCAACACTGTCGTCATTACTTGTTTCCAACACCGTCTATTCTGTATCTTGATGTAGCGTATCGTTGTTGCCGTCACAGAAGCATTCACCTGCACCCTCAAGCTTGTATGTAGAATATCTGTCCCGATCGAACCTCCGCACTAAAAATCAGAGACTTAGTCCAAGAGTGTTTGATCAGAACTAAATACCTACCCTACAGTATGCAATTGTTGCTATTGTTATGCAGAGGCAGTTGAATATAGATATACACACTGCCAGTCTCAGGGCACGCTTCGGCATATGCCGGTCTAAAGAGAACACTCCTTCGCTTTCCTCTTTCAAGTTCGAAATAACCTGGTTCTTTCTTCCCGCACCATGACGGACACGGAGGTTATCGATCTTACGGCGCCATCTTCTCCCATTCTTGTGGACGAGGATAGTGATGGCGGCCCTCCTTCAAGCAGCAAACCCCAGCCGGACGCGACCAAGGACCAGAAGCGGAAGAGGAAGAAGAAGAAGCGGCCTGTGGTGGATAGCGCGCCCGAGGAGGGCGAAGTAACTTCTGCTCCAGACAATAAAGCAGTCTCTGTGGCTGGAGACGAAGGCCCTCCGCTTTTCTTCGTCGACCTGGCACCTGCACCGTTGTCCTCTGCCTCGGAACCAGCTCCCAAAGTCGGGGAATCAAGCAAAAGCGCGGCTCTGGAGGCTGCGAGTGCCCAGAATGAGCCGGCCAAATTGCTTCTGCCTGATCACGTATCCGTGCTGAGCCAAGGAGTTGGCGTACCCGTAGAAGTCATAACCCGACCGGATGAAGATTCGGACGACGAGGCCTACATCGAATATCTTGACTACGATGACAGGAAGGCCCCGGGAATGGTGCGCTACTTCGAGGAAGAGAAGGAGGAACCGAAGCAGCAGAAGATTGTATGCAAGAACTGCGGACAAGAGGGGGATCACAGGACATACGAATGCCCTGTCCAAATAGTTAGTATAGCTCCATGTATCCACGCCTATCCGACTAATTCATTTAATGCTTTACGCTTGACAAGTGCTTGACGTGTGGCGCCCGAGACGAGCATTCGACCAGAAGTTGTCCTATCAGTAAGACATGTTATACATGTGGTATGAAAGGTCATATCAACAAGGCACGTTACAACTTATGCATGGTGGTGGTAGGCCTCAGTATCATTAACATCCTCCCAGACCTGTCCCCAACGATTCACTATTCGTGGAACTCAAGTGAACAACTACGACGACTGTGACAGATGTGGGTCATCGCGACATCATACGAATGTGAGTTAAACTGTGGCCAGAATAGTTTGAATATAGTGACACCTTGCTCCTAGGAATGCCCTACTTTATGGCGACTGTATCACTATGTTTCAGACGCTGACCGAGAGACAATCTTACGGGTCAGGGAAGAGAAGAGTGTATTAGGCGTCGGTAACGGTGGCGAAGGCTACATTGCCACAGACGAGTGGTGTTACAACTGCGGCGAATCCGGCCATCTGGGCGACGTTAGTAGTTTCTCATCCACGATGAGCTCTGTAGGGCTGAACGTCAGACAGGATTGCAATTCTCTACCACACCCGCCTGATCATCCCCTGGAGCCATCGGCGTTCAGCTCTTATAACATCATGTCGGGCCCGTTCTTCGACGCCACCACCTCCTTGAGCAAGGGCAAAGCCAGACGACCCAGAGATTGGGAGACTTCAGACCATGTCGGGGATGGATGGGGTTTCAATGCACCGATGAATGTTGGAAAGCAGGGGAGAAAGAAAGATCGAGCAAGAATGGAGCAGGTGGCCAAACATCAAGAAGAGGAAGAGGACCCGGACGACTGGTTTGGCAACCCGAGGAACGCGAGGAATCGTGGCATGACTCGGGATGCGCAGCCTCCGCGCAACGTCCGCAGCGAGATAGGCAACGAGAACAAGGTTTTCACATTTGGCAGCATGGGTAACGACAGGAATCGGAGGTTTGAGATCGAGAGTTCAGTCAACGCTTCTAGAGGGTCGCGGTACGACAAGGATAGGAACGACAGGTATAGGGGCGAGCGTGCCCCAGATACGTTCAGTATCCGAGGGGCAGCTGCTCGTGATTCAGAGTACCCTAACGGGTCTAGCAGAGAGCGGTCTCGGCGGAACGACCACCACCGTTCTGACCGTCAAGAGCGTCGAGACGATCACCGTCCCCGGTACAAAGGGGGGTATGCCTACTAATTTATATTAGCTGTTGTTGCATAGCATAGGATACTAGTGTTTGTACTCTTTGAAGACTTGTGGCGGTCCTACTAAGAATTGCTATTTCGGGCAACTACGACAAGGTACTACATGGACCCACAATCCTCAACGCGTTCCTCCATTGCCAGAGCGTTGAATTACCGCCGCTTCCGAGTGCCACCTATACGCTGAGTGCCCTATAATGCTTGGGCCTTCTCCGACCATGAACCTAATGCAACCGCCATCCGAGCCAAGGTCAAAAGCACGGCCTACCGGTACCAGTTCTGTTCCAGCCTCGGACGCACAATCAGCTAGTGCTGTCGCGAAGACCGCAATATCTTTAGAGTATGCTTCTTTACGATACAGAGGCCACTGCCCCCTAGGAATGTACATCACGCCGTCTCCTGACAACCTGCTCGTCTGGGACGGCGTGTTTTTCGTTCACGTACGTGTATACACTGTTGGGAAGGGAGTCATTATCTAACACAACGTCTCCTGTAGCAAGGTATGTGAGATATTGAAGCGATGTATAGTGGAATGCCCGAACTCCGCTAGGTTATTATACCGATGCCATCTTGAAGTTCCGTCTTCTGTTTCCGACCAATTATCCGGACCGTCCACCAAAAGTAGTGTTTATCACAGACGTGTTCCATCCTCTGGTATCCCAGCAAAATGGATCATTCAACCTTGCCCCTCGCTTCCGCCCCTGGAGGTAAGGCTGTACTGTAATGCTTACGAATGATGCTCCGGTTTGACCTCCGTTAAGACCAAAGGAACACCATGTCTTCGACGTGCTACACTGGATCAAGGCTTCTTTCAAGAAACATGCGCTGGATAAACTTACTGAAGAGGATTGCTTCAATAAAGAAGCACACCGGTGAGTATGTCCCCGCGATCGTAATGACCTTTGTGCTTACCACCGCTCTAAAGCCTGTGAGTATCATTTGCTTTGTACCTTCCATCCACCGTATCACCAAATGGCTTTATTATCAGGTACAATGATTCTACCTCATCGTTTGCGGCACTGGCTACGCAGTCCTCCATGCTATCACAGTCTCCTTCCGCTCTCTTTGACCACGATCATCCTTCCCTAGCCGGGAGGGGACGCCACACGATGACATTCCGCGACCTCAAGCCCGAGGAAGTGAGCACCCTACAGAGCCGAGTAGGACTGAGGCCGTGGAATGAGGACTCCTCTTAGAGTCAGGTAACAGTATATCGTGAATGGCATGCCGTGGATGCCTTTTTGTATATGTATTACATACACTTGTACAGGATTACGCGAGCTAATATACATCCGGATTATGGTGTTCATCAGGGCAGTGAATGCTATGCTACAATCTCCTCTTGTAACCGTCCGTGGGGCATCTGAACTTGACTCCCTCATCTTGACACCCTTCATAAATCATCGTCTGCTGCGCTGTCGACAGCAATCGGACTTCCCAAAGTGTGCAATGTCTCTGCGCCTGGTTCGGGAATGTCGTCGTCCTGCCGAAATCGTTCAGTAACAGGCTTGACCTTGAAATCCCCTAATGAAGTTACCTTCTGTAATCGCCCAAAATGCTTGGAGAGCTTCTCTATGACGAGACTGTAGGGCAAGTGCTGCGTTAGTTTCCTGTACCGTGAGGTGAGTATTATCCTGGCAGAATCCATACATCTCAAGCCGCACCTGCGTGGCTGAACATTCAAAGAATGGCGGGCGTCCAGAGCGGAATCGAGGACATTTGACGAGTGAGCGCCTTCGCTTAGGGACAGCTTGATAGAATATTCTTTGTCGGATTTCCCGCGTCCATGGTTACGCTCATAAAGCTCAAACCTACGAAGATGTCCGAACTCAGTACTGTACTTCGGTATATTCCAGAGCAGGCTCATACGTTATATGCGACTTTTAGTGCAAAGATTAGCGACAAACCTCCGTGATAGATGGATTGAACGTACACAATAGTCGAGTTCCGGAATTCGCCGGTTGGCAATGGGCAAGCCGGACAACAGAACAAGGTTTACCAGGGTGTGGATATGGCTTTCTTTAGTGAAGTAGAGTGTCAGAGAACTATTTCCGTTGTTCCTGGCTGTCTCCAAGTCATCGACCACTCTTTTGAGCAGGGGTAGTGAGGTCAGTACTCCGATTTCTTCCCTGCGGGCAGTCAGTACAAGCGCGGTAACCCCCCAATAAGATCCTACTTCTCGTGTGGCTCGATGCCGTACTCTTGGGGAGCAACTAAGTCAAAAAGAGCCTTCGCGCGACTATATAGCTCGTGAAGTCTGCGATCACTCGGCCCGTCTTTACCACCATTCTCGTCGAAGATAGCGAACAAGAACGTCCTGTGATGCAGGGCGCAATACTTGATGGTGTCATAAAGTTCAGACACCTGCGATATGACATTAGCTAAGATTTTGATTGGCGGAATGTACCGAGCAGCGGACGCACACGAGACGGATCGAACTTCTCCTGCTTTACATCGCAGAAATCTTCGAAGAGCTTTTCCCAACGCTCCCTAAATAGCCAAGGTTCGTCGCCACAACACCTGCATCGCACGTATTAGCGAAAGAAGGCGTAACCGGGTTGATTGATTCACCATCGTTCCTGTAGCTTGTCCACGTCGAGGGTCTCCCAGTTCTTTCTCATGATATCCCGGAATGAACTTAGAAGCTCTATGACTTCCTACCTGGACGTCAGACAAATAGGCATATTGGCTCCAAATGAACACACCTTCACTACTTCCACCGGTTCCTTTTTCATACCCTTGGGCCACGTCAGCTCAGGCCGTTTCTCTGGTTCACCGGGCCTAAGTAGGATCTTCAAGCGCTTCTTTACATCGTCCATAAGATCTTTGGCAGCGTTGGAATCGTCCAGCAAGTCCTTGCGAACAATGAGAACGGGGGGTTGTTTCGGTTTGCTCAATTGATGCTGAGAACTCCTGGCTGAGAAGGAGCTGGATCCGCCGTCAGTTGATGATCGCGAGCTCGCCGTCGATCCGGACCCGTATCCTTGGTTGCTATCGAAAAGGGCAGTCGCGAAAATCTCGGCGGACGCGACGACACGACGTTCCGAAGAAGTGTATATCTGAATAAATGTTGAGTTCCGAGTACATGGTGAATGGACGCGCGTATGGCAGACAGCTCGCCTTCACGTTATTGAGAACTTCCTTATCTGCACGGCATTGGTCAGAACCGCGGAACATATTCGGGTGCTTGACATACTCATTATTGATATATCCTTCTTCATGTTTTCGCCCAAATCCCGAGATTGATACCTGGCAGAATGGGTGAACTAGGAGGAAGCAATCAGATAATTTAATGATACCAACCCTACGACGCACGCACCTCACCACCCCATTTGAACACCAATGTGAGCTTCGTGAGGCTCCGCGTCTGGCCTGCCTGCTTCTTGGAATAGACGGGCTTCAATTGTGCCTTAGTCCCTGGGAACTCAATCTTGCTGAAGAGGGCATTGTTCAGCTGAGTGAGCTTTGTCAGATCCTCGCCCACAGCGCCAAGAGCTTTGGCTTCTTCAATAGCAACAGCGATCAGGCTCAGCTGCTCCTTCTCCCGCAATATGATCTCCTCTGTCTCGCCGTTGAGTAACCGGACGAACGGCTGTGTCCAAGTTTCGCCAATGGGGAAGTTGAACTTGAGCTTCTGTTTTGGCGTGCGGTCGGCATGTCGGAATACCGTTACATTGGCTTTAAGGAGCCACGTGGAAGACTCCTGAGTGGTCGACTCTGTCACGAGTGCACGCGACGGAGACGGAGAGGCTGACAGACAAAGCCCCGCCAGGATCTCGGCAGCTTTGTCTGGGGACAACGAACGGGACACAGCTGAGTTGCGCTGCACTGCAGTCGAATGGGAGTAGTACACACCGTAGTAACCTTCGTTGCCCTTCACAAAACTCCAACCGTTAACATCAATAACTTGGCTTTTCCGACCGTTGTCAGATCGAAGCATGTCAAATCCACAGACGCGTTGTCCAAAGGCTTCAGAAATCTTGGCTGCCCACAACTTCTCGTCATCACTCAAATGGGTGATAAAACTGACGCGACGTGTCGTGGGATATCATTTGGGGGTGGACGAATGGGACTCACCGGATTTCCTTGCCCTCAGTATTTCGTCTAACGACACCATCGACCACGGGGGACTTCCGGGTCTCCGCGTGAGTATAATCCTTGCCTACAGTGTATACTTTGATATCCTCCGAATTATCTACGTCAATGAATTGTTCGTATATGTACGATCCGTCTGTCCGAGGATGACTTAGATTCGGGTCCAGGTCGCTGGACTTATTGCCTATCTGAATCCCCGCATAGACTACTGGTCAGTAGGATGATCTATTAAAACGTGTATTATTGCCTACTTTTCTGAACAGGCGGCGGCCTTGACCTCCTTTGAAGTATACATAGACATTGTGATCTTCTCCACTGACCGGCTTTTCCACAAACGGCTTCTCCATCACTTGACCGTCAATGATAATGGAATCTCCATCTTCGCTGAGAGATACTTCGGGTGTTACTTGGAATCCTCCAAGTTCTATGCCCAACCGTGCCTTCATCATGTCCCTGAGCTCATCGTCTATTTTCGGTCCGCCGTCGCGAGAAACCTCTAGACGCCGGGGTGTAGGCACATTAAGATGGTCGAGGACAGCGAGGACTAGCCGACGATCCCACAAAAGAGCTTGAGGCGGGAGGTCATTGATGCAGAACGGGTTACGAAGTTTTACGTATGAGATGGCCTTATCTAGCGGGAAGTCCGTAGAGAAAAATGAGATGAGAACGTCGCATCGTGGCCAGTTTTCGACGTCTAAGGGACATGAACGTCTGACCAATGTGACACGATGGATCGGGGCACGCACCTTCATCCAGGATAACCTTGTCGCCGAATACTACTACCTCGATAGCACCCCGAGATCGTTCCACCAGTCTAGTAAGTATCTCTCTCATAGCTTTTGACCTTGCTTTGATGTCCATTGCGCATATTCCTAGAATGATCGGAGCTCGAGTCCATTCAGTAGCTGTAGAAAGGTCTGAATGGGAAGCAGTCGGAGAGGGAGTCGAGGAGCGAGTAAGTATAGAGCTTGAGCGGTTAGAATGTCTATCCGGAGAGCCAAACAGCGACGATATGCGAGATTGCCTATCCCTCGTATTGGTAGACATGTTAAACTTTAAAGGGAAGAAAGGCAAGTGTGCTGTGGCCGCACCGCGTCGTGTGCCACAATCTTGAATGAAATTCCTGCGCACTCTAGACCCCGGAACTTTCCACGGTTGCCAGTGGCTGATCGGGGTCCTGGCAGGCGATCGTTGTGTATTATGTAACGTCATTGAGGCATTTGTGCTGCGTCTGCGCCATTTTCGCCAAAGTATTGGACCGCAATCTAAGTCAGCAGAGGCAGCCTCTGTAGTACATATACCCCCCAGCGGATGTTGAGACGCGTCCTGAACGCTGTTGGCGACTCTGGCTCGCTCGTCTGCTCCTGACAAAGGAAGAGAAGTATTAACACTCACCAGGAGTGCGGTTCCGGCTCGTGTCTGCGCGATCGTCCCATACCCACACTCGACTCTGAATTCCCTGTTTCCGGGTTACCTGTCCATCTGTCGTAATTCATCATGGCCGCCCCCATTACGTCTCCCTTATATTCCAGGCGTCCCTCTGCTCGACCCCTCCGGACGCTCTCGGCCCTCCCCCATTCCCATACTATGACTTCCCCAGACGAAGCAGTCACGACAGTCTTAATTTCTAACCTGCACTGCAGCAGGTGAGCTTCACGAGCACTCACGTCTATATCTAACCGCTCAATTCCATTCAGTTGCGTCAAGACAATCGAAGAGACGCTGTGCGCGCTCACCCCGGCTCCCGCCTCAGTCGACGTTTCCATCGTATCTCAGTCGGTCACTGTCCATCATCACAAGGACCTCTCACCGACCACCATCAAGCATGCGATAGACGAAGCCGGTTTCGACATAGTGGCGACTCCGACAGCCGCGGAGCCAGATGTCAGGCCATCCTTGTACAGGAGCGTCAGCAATATATCAGGCCTATTCACACGACGCAGGCGACATGTCGAGCAATGTCTAATCTGCAAGAAAGAAGAGCATGATCATGGCAACGTCATAGAGGAAGTCCCCACTGGCAGTACTGATAGGGTTGTCGTCAAGTGCGACCAGAATGGCGGTCGACGCTCGGCAGACCTTACGGTGCCCGACAGTCCACAACTAGAGAAGAGTACCAACTTGCCTGTAACGGAGAAGGCATCTCAGCCAGCCGAGTCATACCGCGTCGAGCTGTCCATTGGAGGGATGACCTGTGCATCATGCTCCAACACCGTCACCGACCTAGTCTCTCAACTACCGGGTGTGTCCCACGTCGTCGTAAACTTACTTGGTCACTCGGGGACGTTGAATGTCGAGAGTCAAGACCTGGTACGCAAGGTTGTGGAGACGATCGAGGATGCGGGATACGAGGCTGAGGTCGTCAGCGTGGAACCTATCCATGTTCTTCAGCCCCCGTCCCATCTACGACCTGCCCGATCTTCAGAAGGGCCATACCACGCGGTGTTTTCTGTTGGAGGGATGACTTGCGCCTCATGCTCAAACACCATAACCGAGCTTGTCTCCCAGCTGCCAGGAGTCACTGACGTCGTGGTCAATGTTCTGGGGAAATCTGCTAGTGCAACAATCGAGCAGCGAAAGTTCGCGGACACTATCGTTGAGACCATTGAAGACGCGGGCTATGAAGCAGAGGTAGTCGCAGTCGAAGCTATATCGTCTGAGACGGGAGAGCTTGAACAGTCTGGCCCCCGTCAGATCTCTTTGCGAGTCAATGGCATGTTCTGCAAGTGAGCAAACTTGCTCGAAGCATGGCTAACCGCGTTACTCACCCGATCCTAGACATTGTCCTGAACGAGTTATAACCGCCCTTCAAGGACTCGGGCCCGATGTGACTATTACGAAGCCAATCGTTGACTATACAGATCCAATAATACAGCTATCATATCATCCCAACCCGCCAGAATTTACCATACGCACGATTATTTCAGCCATCGCCTCATCCAAGTCGCCACCGTTTGAGGTATCCATATATCGCCCGCCATCACTCGAAGAGAGGGCACGTAGAATGCAGCTCCACGAACAGCGACAGATGCTTCTGCGCTTGCTATTCTCTGTGGTGGTGGCCATACCTACCTTCATCATCGCGATCGTCTACATGAGCTTGGTCCCGCACCAGAACCGGACTAGAAGATACTTCATGGAGCCCATATGGACGGGGAATGTTTCGAGAGTTGAATGGGCACTTTTCTTCTTGGCCACTCCGGTCATGTTCTACAGCGCCGGTGTCTTCCATCGAAGAAGCCTGAAGGAGATCAAAGCACTCTGGAGACCCGGAAGCAGGACGCCGATTTGGAGGCGTTTCGTCAGGTTTGGCAGCATGAACCTCTTGGTGAGTCCGACGTCTGCTCGATAGGGTGTTGTGCTGAATGTGCTCTAGGTCTCAACAGGTGTTTCGGTTGCATACTTCGCATCAATAGCATTGCTGGGTCTAGCTGCAGCTCAATCACCGTCGCCTACTGGGGATGGGGACACTACGACGTACCTTGACTCCGTCGTCTTTCTTACGATGTTCCTTTTAGCCGGTAAGTCTTTGGGTTTTATCACGCGGAAGTGACTGAAATGAGACATCTTTTGCAGGCCGTTTTATGGAAGCTCATAGCAAAACACGCACTGCCGACGCGGTGACAGCCTTGGGCAAACTCCGTCCCGCAGAAGCTCTTCTTCTTATGCCATCGTCACAGACCGCGAATGACCAGACTCGCATTTCGCAAGACTCTGATCTCGAGAAAGGCGATGAAAAGATAGAAAACGGTCGCAAGCGAGGTTGGGCGGTCCAAAGGACTGACGTTTCTTTACTCGAAGCGGGGGATATAGTCCGAGTCCCGAGCGGGTCGACACCCCCCGCTGACGGGACCCTGGTGGCTGGATCGGATTGCACTTTCGACGAGAGCTCCCTGACAGGCGAATCAAGACTGGTCAAGAAGGAGATCGGTGACAAGGTTTTCCTAGGTACTATCAATAAAGGCAACATGGTAGACATCCGAGTGGATTCCATCGGCGGCGAAAGCATGTATGTCCCGCGTTGAGTGCGTGTACAGGTCTAGATGCTCAATGCCGTGCAGGTTGGATCATGTCGTGAAGATTGTTCGAGAAGGCCAGACAAGACGAGCACCCATAGAGCGTATCGCTGACCTCATAACGGGGTATTTTGTCCCTGTTGTCACACTTTTGGCTGTCTTGACCTGGATAATCTGGCTCGTCCTGGGGGAGAGCGGATCCCTCCCTGCAGACTACCTGGATATCGAGGTCGGTGGCTGGGGTGAGTACCTTCGTCAGTGCAAAAAAATGGAGATGCTGATATAATGCAACCTCTAGTCGTGTGGTCGTTAGAATTCGCTATCGCTGTGTTCGTCGTGGCATGTCCTTGCGGCATAGGTCTCGCAGCACCTACAGCCCTTTTGGTCGGGTCGGGACTCGCTGCGAAATTCGGCATACTCGCACGAGGTGGCGGCGAGGCTTTCCAGGAGGCTGCGCAGTTGGACCTCATTGTGTTTGACAAGACTGGTACTCTCACCGAAGGAGGGGAACCACGAGTCACGGATGCGAAGGTTATAGCCGATAGGACCAAGTGGAAACCTGATATTATCTTGGGCATGGCAGCTGAGATAGAGTCCGCTAGTTCGCATCCCTTAGCGTCCGCCCTCAAAAATTACTGTGAGGACAATGCAGCCTCCACTACGATGGGCTCTCAGTTCGAAGAAGTCGCCGGAAAGGGATTGAAGGCCTCTTTCCAAGAGTACCGATGCTCTGCCATCATAGGAAACGAGAGCTGGATGGCAGAACACGGTGCCATAATCCCAGAAGAGATTGTGGTGCTCATGAACGGATGGAAGTCCGATGCGAAGAGCGTCATTCTACTTGCCGTTCTTGATGAAGAGAATGAACCCAAGGAAGACCGACATTACATTGTGGTTGCTGCCTTCGCAGTCGCAGATCACATCAGAGGCGAAGCTAGCGAGGTGATATCGCGTCTACAAAGACAAGGAATCAGCACTTGGATGATCTCGGGCGACAACGTCACCACTGCGAAAGCAGTGGCCCGCTTGGTCGGCATCTCCGAGGAGAATGTCATCGCGGGCGTTCTACCGCATCAGAAGGTGAGAATTATGCGATGACATACTGTGTTATAGTGCTTATGGCACTGCTGCAGGCCGAGAAAGTCCAGTGGTTACAGCAAGTCGGCCCAAAGCGACCTTCTTCCAACTTTGGGGGCCTAGCCGGACGTCGAACAATGAATGACCGCTGCATTGTAGCAATGGTGGGGGACGGTATCAACGACGCACCTGTAAGTCAATCCGCCCTTGGCCAGCAGAAAAGATACTGACTATCGTCCAGGCGCTTTCCGTGGCTGACGTGGGGATAGCTATCGGGTCGGGAAGTAAGTCGCTTCTCGTACTTGTCGTACCCGCTCATGATTGATTCCCATATCCTGTAGGTGATGTAGCGGTCACAAGCGCTTCTTTCATCCTTGTGACGTCGAACCTGCGGAGTCTGTTGACGTTGACGGACCTCTCTCGAAAGGTTTTCACTCGCGTCAAATTCAACTTCGTGAGTAGCCTCGAAACTGAAGGGAGATGGATACTAATCGGTGTACATCGTCAGCTGTGGGCCGTCATGTACAACTTGATTGCACTCCCTATCGCTGCTGGTGTTGTCTATCCTGCAGGTCATGCACGACTTTCTCCGGTGTGGGCGTCATTGGCGATGGCTTTATCGTAAGTTACCGAATCTCTCGTGGGAGTGGCAAACTCTAACACATAGCAGATCCGTTTCTGTTGTCTGCAGCTCTCTTCACCTGAAGTTGTATAAAGAACCAAGATGTTAACGATGCGCATTTATACCTGACGACCGGAGTAACGAGGCTGTAACGTTATCTTTGTAATAATAGGTTATTGGTGTATCCATAGCACATATTACCACATGAGATATAGATATTTTCAAACTGTGGATGTCACTGGTAGGCACATATATACAAGATGGTACAAGTGGTACATACAGCACGGTGAAAGCTTATGCTTTTTGATGCGCTTCTTTCTTCGTAGAGTAGAAGTCCGAGAATGACAAACGGGTAGACAAGGAGCGGGATTCGAGATCGTGATGATTGCCAAGACCTCGCACCATGGCATGAGCCTTCTCAGAAAACGATGTTCCGTACTCGCGTATGATGTTCAGAATCCGTTCCAGTGTCGCTGTGTCAGTATGCTCGTCTGGATCATTTGCGGTATAAACACCCTAGGAGACATAAGGATACATGCCGAATTCTGCAACCATAAACTTACCCGTTCGTGGTCAAGCTGAGAATCTCTACGAGCGGACTCCGACAAACAGTAATTGTAGAAATTATCCTGATGAAGTTAGGGAAAGGCGCCCGTAGATGTGACATAACTTACCACTGCTTCCCTGAATTGCAGTATTATGGCAAATAAATCAAGCACTTGATTTAGAAGAGTTTCCTGGCAAGACCCGGTCAAGCCTTTCTCCTTCGAAGGCAACGAACGTACCTCTCTTCCTGCTTTGGGACTCAGCAGCAATATCTTCTTTACCATATTGTCTAAATACGTCCGATGGGCCTCAATGAGAGCGTCGAGATCGCCATCCTTCTTCTCCAGGAACTCCAGAAGGACTTGCCATAAACACTCTATGACATCCAACTGACACCACGCCTCCATCTGACGTACATAATGGATCATCTCCGCTTGGTAAGCGCGAATACGATGCCATTCCGGCTCCAGTTCTAAAGAAAATTGAATGTTTATGGCTATGTTGGCCAGGTGAGTACGCACCAGGTACTCTCAAGAAACTCCTTGAACCGCTAGTCACTCGGAGCCACCCTTTGTTGAGAGCCTTCTCGACTCGTCTGAGTTTCCACAGATGGTTGAACAATTTGAGATATTTCAGGATCGACTCCGGGTCAATGATCGTATCAATGGGGGCATCCACTTTGTACTCCAAAGTGAAGACGTCCCATCCTATCTCGCCGTGTTGAAATTCAAGGACTCTCGCATCCAATCGCCGCAGGACGTCCGGTGGGTCATTTTGGGCGACAGAGGAGCGCAATGCAGTTTCCAAGGTTGCTGTTAGGTTGTGACGGTGTAATGCATTCGCAGGTCGCGCTAAACTTGGCCTGACGGGAAGGTGAGCTTAGCTTTCCAGGTCTAGAAGACGCACATACGACAGAGCATCCATAAGCTGGTCAGTGAAATCTCCATGACCAAGTAACATGTAATTCTTGAGAGCCCGCAGGTGATCCAGCAGCCTGAACTTATCCAGGAACACATCGAATAATCTCCGACTAGCGATTTGGTAAGCGGTGTCGATGGAACGCTCTAAGCCTGCGATATCGCTGTACTTCAAAGCTTGGCCTACGTGAGCCACCTACATCACACAAAAGAGGAGACACCTACTCCCTCCTGTATTACTGAGCTTTTCCCGAGTTGCTACCCAATCGCTATCGTGACAACTGTAGCGGATGAAATTCAAGCTTCTCCCCGTGGAGAATATCTGGTAACGATCGTTAGGCTAGCACAAGAATAATGACAGTCGCTCACCTTCCGTCCAAAAGCTTCTCCAACAAAGGCAGGTAACATGCCTTTCTGAAATTGATATTTGGCTTCCCATAGTCGCAGACCAGACTCTGGACCTGCTATAATATCATTATCCCCGCCAACAAACCCCCCGTCGGCCGAAAGCTGCCCAACGGCGCCTTCGAGTGAGGATGGGTGAATATACTGCAAGTGCGCAAGTTCTGGATCGACTGCGACGAAGAACTCGGAATATGGATCGTAAAGTTCGCCTGAAAATATCCATTTATGTAATGTCGCAAAGAAGGGTTTCGACACCTGCCACGGTTTAGCCACACTCACTGCAACGAAACTCATGCTCACCTCTTCCAACAACTCATCTGTGAAACGCCGCACGAAAGGGTCTCCGTTGTCTGTATAGCTATGTATCAGATTAACGAGAGCACCGCCATGAGCATCTGCGGCAAACACGAAGTTTAATAGGAAGATCCGTCAAACCAAGCACGACGCACCTCGGGCACCCTCGACGCAAGCACTCATCATTCTCATTCTCAGCCTCCAGTCACTTATCCATACATCTAATCTTCGTAGAGTCAGGCCGGTCTCTTCAGCTCTGCCACTGCCCTCTGTGCGATCGTCTTCCGCAGACGAAGCAGGGACCATTTGTGATTCCAGCACAGCGATCAATCTGTAGTACTCGGTGAGCTGGGTCTGTAGATAATGACACAGGCTTTGTTCGATCATCCCAACCCCTTTCTTTTCACGGTCGTTCGCCCAAGCATCCACGCGTTTATATAGATGGCCAACTTCCGATAGTCGGTGAATCAGCGCCTTCGTCGGAGGGGAAATAATATACCTCTGCCATGCCCATCATGAATGACACAGTATAGTGTATCGCAGGCCATAGCAGACTTACTGGATCCTCCAGGAAGACGATCTGCCTCTCTTGATTCGGATCGCTTGCCGGGGCAAACTGAACATACTTGCCAGAGATGCCTTGTAATAGGTACAAGGTGTCGCGCAGCAGCAGATGCTCCGAGAGTTCAGGACAGCCTTCTCGGGTTATTCGAATGATCGAGCGCAATATTTGGATACTCACCGGTCTTGGCCCGATATTGCCTTACAAGCTCTGCCTTCGACTTGCCCGAAGCATGCTTAGCGGAAGATGGAGTCAACGGAGTGGGCGTTGTAGTCCGAGGGCGTGTGGGAGGTGGTGGGACCAGTGCGGGTAAGAACGCTCTTGAACTAGAAGGCCGACCCGTCGAAGCGAGGGTGTACAAAAACAGAAGGGAAGCATGTTTTCGTTCTAGCAGGGGCTGACTGATGCATTACAGGGGAGCAGCACGAACAGCGAAGGGTGATATATACCTGGTCTAATAGACGCGAGAGCAGATTGGTAAAGCGAAGAGACGCAGCGCCATTCGGGGACGACTGTAGGACTAAAATTGCGGAAACACTGAGACACAGCAGGACTTTGAAGTTTAGCTCACTGACGGTGTCGCTTCACCAGATCAGCAAGGTGACCAATATCACTTTCACGATTTCGTCCAATATGACTTTGGAAACGTGTTAGGGTTGGGCGAACTGACGAGGGCTGGGCGTATACCTATTTAATATATCAGAGCAATGGATTAAGAGCTCGTTCCTCAGCGCATCATCCGACCTGGCACGAGGCACCAGTGTAGCAATAAGTGATTCCAGCTGCGATGTAGCAGGCATCGGGCACGCTTTCTGCCACACCGCGTCGCGACGCGTCCGAGTCTGACAAAACCCAAAATGGAAGGTCTCTCTAAGCTCACGGACCGAGCAGCTGCAATCATCTGCCTAAATCCCTGCTCATCTACTTTACATCGCTCGCTTCATTCTCGAGGGTGTTTCAGCTCTTCGAGGCGGGCTTGACCGCCGCAATAACTCTTAACGACTTCTACACGACCTTTACGACATGTCGGACCGTTCGAACTCGACAAGCTCCCCCTTTCCCAATGGTAACAAGACCGGCTCTACCCCGGGACCCTTTGCCTACCAGCAACGGCTGTTGGAAAGGACCTCTTCACGGGGGGGCGGTGGCTCTATCTCGCGCTCTGGCTCAATATCAGGGTTAGGCGTCCTCGGAACGCCTTCTGGAGGAACCAGTACACCAAGTGGTACTCGGAGATGGGCTCCTTCTCACCGCGTCAGTAATAGTCTGGACGCCGTTCGTAGCAAGTGGGAGGAGCGTGCACGACCAGACAGTCCTGTGGATACTCATCCAGGTACGTCCGTTGATGCCACCACAACCTATACCAGGAGGGACGTGGGGTCTACCGCCCCGTCCGGCGTCGACGGTGCCCCTACCACGCCGCCGAGGGGCAACGACTCAGACATGGTGAGGACTCCTACATACTTGAAACGTCGTACGCTTCCATCACCTATAATCGCCTCTCCGCTCTCGCCCAATTCCACGGGCATTACTGTCGAGAGTCCGGATTCCCCGACGTCCTCCTTCCATACACCGAATGCTCAGCGCATTCATTTACCGACCACTCCTTTACATTCTCAAGTACCACCCAGCATCAAACGAGCAAACTCTGATGCGCCATCCGCGGATCCCTCGCCTGCCTCTCCCGCATTTCGATACCGTCGGGCGAACACCCTTGAGAGCGTTATCCCTGAGACAACTGGATCATCGAGTACCACGAACTCCGATGTGTCATCCTTGTCATCCGGAACCATATCTCGTTCAGCATATCCATCTTCGCCGACCACTGCCCCGATTCATAGGCGGCCTACCTCGCTGTATAACTCCATCCCGTCCACTTCCTCCTTGATTGAGAAGTACAACAAACGTCTCTCGGCGGATCTGAGCATACCTACATCACCCAGTAAGTCTTCGAGCTCCACGTTGACATCGACGTTGCATACCCCTACGCCGACTCCGACAACGCCGACATCCTCTGTCATGTCCCCATCGCTCTACCGGAGTCCATACATGAATAAGAAATACGGCTCGAATCTTACAGCAGGTCGCAGACTTGGCCGTCATCTTCCTCGGATCGCCAGCGGGGACGCTGAGGACGACTGGGAAGAGCATAAGCAGGAGAAACCAAGCGAGCCTGAGCCTAGGACACCTCGGACAATAGGCCATTCCCGCTCACCCTTCAAGTCTAGGTTTGACACAGACACTGTCGTGACCGGCGTGACCGACTCAGACGAGGTTGCCGGCATTCATGGACGGCTTCGACTATCTAGGGATAGGAGACTAGACACATCCAACACTCCCCTACCTTCATCGAGATTGACCAGAGGTCTATGGGCAGACGTTCAGAGACATCTCCTTCAGGCCTATGAGTACTTGTGTCACGTTGGTGAGGCTCAACAGTGGATTGAGGGCTGCTTAGGAGAAGAACTCGAGTTCGGCGTCGTTGAGATGGAGGAAGGACTCCGCAACGGGGTCGTCCTAGCTCGCCTCGCCCGCGTATTCCAAGGCGAGGCCGTTGTGAGGCGGATTTATGATGCAAGTAACGGTGCAGGATCTCCTAGACGTATCTTTTTAACGACTTATCATTTCAGGCGCCCAAACTGGATTTCCGACATTCAGATAATATCAACTATTTCTTCAATTTCGTTCGAGAAGTTGGTCTGCCGGAGGTAACTCTTTTAGTAATCATTAAGCTGTCCTTTTAATATGTTTATAGACTTTTGTATTCGAGCTAACCGATTTGTACGAGAAGAAGAACCTGCCCAAGGTCATTTACTGTATCCACGCGCTGAGGTATATTCCCTTCTCATCGATGCAGGAAGCAGCTAATTCTGGGGTCATGCAGTCATCTACTTGCACGCCGTGGAATGGCAGAACGGATTGGCAATCTCGTGGGCCATCTTCAATTCTCAGATGACCAGCTGCAAAAGACGCAGAAAGGTCTATCCGGCGTTGCTATGCCGAACTTCGGCAATGTAGGACGAGAACTAGCGAAAGAGATCAACGAGGACCCTGAAGTGGAGGTGGAGACGGACGACGAACGTGAGCGTTTGATCATGTTCAAATTATAGGTAATCCAGCTAAAACTTGACTACTTCAGGTCGTGATCGGTTACTACTTGAGAATGAGGGATCCATCGTACAGACGCAATCTCTTGCGAGGGCATTCCTGGTCCGTAAGGCTGTGGCGACACAGCGCGTACGGCTGCGCCTCGCCGAGCGATACGTGTCGAAACTCCAAGCGCAATGCAGAGGTGTATTGGCAAGGCGAGTCCTACGGGCACAGCGGGACCGACAAGCGGATCTTGTGCCTTGGGCTGTTGCCGTGCAGGCCGTTGCAAGGGGCCTGATTGCGCACAGGCGCTGGCAAGCGAAACTTGCGCGTATTAAGTCCATCTCGAGTAATGTCGTCAAGGTACAGGCTCAGGCTCGCGGCGTGATTCAGCGACGTCGGTTCGCATTACTGAAAATAGCCCTGCGGAAAAGCACACGTACAATTGTGAAGCTCCAATCTCTCGCTCGCGCCCGTCTGGCGCAGAAGCAACATGTCGAAGTGCAAAAGAGCTTTGGTCGTATCGACGCCGTGAAGTCTGTTGTCGCCTTGCAGGCGCGTGCTCGTGGTGCGCTGGTGCGTAGAGTCGCACAGAGGCGTGCCGAGACACTGGAGGGCATCTCGCCATACGTCGCAGGCTTACAAGCTCATGCGCGGGGAGTTATCATGCGCCGTCGGATGCGGACCCAATTGAACAAGCTGCAAGATGTCACGCAGACTGTCATAGGAATTCAAGCCGCTGCCCGTACTTACCTTGCCAGAAAGCGTCTCTTGGCTCTGATTCGAGGCTTACGCAAGGCGACCCCCGTGTTAATTGGTATTCAGGCTCTGGCTCGCGGGAAGTTAGCTCGACAGGAACTCAACGAAGTTACCAAGAAGTTGGCGGAGGCGCACACACTTACTGCGGTCGGAGGTTTCCAGGCCCTGGCGCGTGCAGCTCTTACTCGACAGAGACGCCAGCAGCAGAAGAAACAGTTGGAGTTCGTTGCACCAGACGTTACTGGCTTTCAAGCCGCTGCACGAGGTGCCCTCGTCCGTCGTGATTACTACGCCTGGCGCGACCATCTGTATAGGAGTGTTCCAATAGCGGTGATATTGCAGGCCATGTTACGGGGCGTCCTGCAGAGACGTCGATTCCATGCCAAGCTGCAATACTTCCGCGCAAACTTATCCAAGGTTGTCAAGATACAATCTCTCTTCCGCGGAAAGGAAACCCGCGAGCAGTACAGACAGCTGACATTAGGCAAGAACGTCAACGTTAGCACAATCAAGAACTTTGTGCACCTCCTTGATGATTCTGAAGCTGATTTTCAAGAGGAGATCAAAATTGAGCAACTTCGGAAGAAAGTCGTGGAGAATATCCGGGAGAACCAGGCACTGGAGAATGACGTGCACGACCTCGACGTCAAGATTGCCCTTGTGGTACAGAACGTGAAAAGCTTTGAGGAGCTCATCAAAGCGCGTCGACGACACGGAGCCGACAGTGCTGCTGCTCATGCTGCGAGGGCATCCGTCTTGGCTGCTCATGGAGATCCCTTTGCCGGCCCGAATACTCTGGACCATGCAGCACGTCGGAAGCTTGAGCTATATCAGCAACTCTTTTATCTGCTACAGACTAGGGGGGACTACCTTAGTAAACTGTTCCTTGAGATTTCGCCTGACGGTGAAGGAGAGAAGAATAGACGCCTTACTGAACGAATTGTCTTGACGCTTTTTGGCTATGGACAAGACAGACGAGAGGATTATCTGTTTTTGAAACTCTTTCAGGTTTGTGTGGAGTGATCGGGTTCGATATTTTGCTAATCCCATGGTCCAGATTTCCATACAACAAGAGATTGCCGCAGCCAACTCCGTCGTGGACATCCAACACGGCCATCCGATGTATATCAACATTGCCGTTCACTACATCAGGGCAAAGCAGGTTGTCTATGTCCGAGAAATCCTCCAGTCGCTCATTCGAGAAATTGTCAACTCTGATGATCTGAATCTAGAAGTTGATGCTTCTATCGTGAGTTCTTCCACCAGCCGTGCACTGGGAAATGCTTACACGGCCGTAGATCTACCGTTCGAGAATAGACATAGAGGAAATGAGGTCCGGTGTAAGCAGTAGCAAGCCTAAGGATTTGCCCTTCTATCAAGCTCTCAATGACCCGCCCACTCGAGCCGAATACATCCGGCGTTTGTATCTTCTGGTCTATATCAACACATATCCCGAGCTCAGACCAATCTTGCGCAGATCTTCAAGTCCTTCAGTGGTGGGCAGATGCCTTCGTAAGTGCCATTACTCAGTCAACTAAGAGGATGCCGTACGCTATGCGTTACCTTGCTCGCGAGACGCTAGCGTCACTGAAGGTAATGGACGACAGTTTTACCTCTGTTCGGTCGCTGACTGGATGACTGTAGGAGAAGTTCCCGGACGAGTCTGATGAAGTTTATGCCGCTTGCGTTGGCCGGATGGTTTATTACAGGTTTATCAACCCCGCTATCATGTGAGTCTCCCGAAATCAGGTCTGTCATTAGGTACTAATGGCAGGCGTAAGCACGCCTGAGACGTTCGATATTGTGTCGAGTACTGTGGATATCGCTGCACGCAAAAACCTTGCGCAGATTTCCAAGGTCCTCACCCAAATTGCGAGCGGCACCGAATTTGGAGAGGACAGTCCTTCCTTCGTCCCGATCAACGACTTCGTCGCCAAATGCATCAAGCAGATGACTGCTTGGTTGCTGGAAGGTGAACACTTGGTTTGTCTATGGGACCTGCTAGTGCTAACGTGCTATCAGTGGCCGATGTCCCTGACGCTGAGACTCAGTACCATGCACACGAGTTCCTGGATGCAACAGTCCAACCAAAGCCGATCTATATCTCCCCGAACGAGGTTTATGCCATGCATGCACTATTGGCGCAGCATGCAGAGTCTATCGTACGTCTTCTCCTCCGCCGTATGTTTGACATTCACCGAAGATCGTGGTAGGCTCCTGCCCGTGACGATACTCTGCGAGTGATTCTACACGAGCTTGATGGGGTGCCACATCTCGGCAACGATGAGCTCAAGGATGCTCGTGACAAGGCCATCACATTAGAGTTGTCGAATCGGTTCGCTCACGTGCGAGGTACGTTCCGCAGCATTTTCCTAAGGTCGTTGCTCATAATCCTCTTTCCCAGACCCGCAGGCCGACGAGAAAGCGCTTTGGGTACAAGCCAAGAGAGGAGTGTTAGCAATACTACGAGTTCAACCCGCCAAGGACTTGGTCGAAGCATTGATGCAGCCAGTAACAGACGAACACGAGGAAATATGGGACGAGATTTTGCGCAACGAGGAGATCGCCGATCGCAAACGCTCCAGGTCCCGTAGACAGATGCCGTCGACGACGGGGTATGAGTCTGCGTATCGAATGGAAGATATCAGATCGTAAGTGAATATCTCTTTACACTCCGGGCGTTCTTCCTTATACCATCCTTAGATTATCTTTCCGGGAAGTGAAGGCGCACGCTATCTATTTCCTGTTAGAGCTGGAAAAGCTGGGCAAGATCACTCGCAGTGATGGGTACCAAGGCATATTAAATGCCATCGCTGGCGATGTGCGGAGCAAACATAGAAAGCGGCTCCAGCGACAACAAGAAATGGAAAATATGGAAGAGGCCCTGAAGCACTTACGAGAACGCAAGAAATACTTCGAGGAGCAGATAGACAGCTATCATAAATACGTCGATGCAGCAATGCACACTATGCAACGTGGCAAAGGGTATGAAGAATTTCTGCCTCTTCTCGACTATCGATGACCATTTCGATCTAGGAAAAAACGCTTCGTTATGCCTTTCACCAAGCAATATTTCCATATGAGAGAGCTGCAGAAGTCCGGGAGAACTCCTCAGTTTGGATCATTCAAGTATGGAGCGCAAGACTTGTACGATAAAGGTATATTGTTATCCATCGACCAATTCTCTCCTCGACAGTTCGACAAGATCGACATTATCATATCTTCCAATGAAGTCGGCGTGTTCACCATCGAGGTCTATAATAACACTCTGGGTATAACAAATCGGGTGGCATCACAAGATCTCAGGATGGAAGATCTGTTACAAGCGCAGTTTGAGAACCGTGCTTCTCTTTCCTTGTTCAATGGCCTCGCGAAGGTTAACCTCAATTTACTCCTGTATCAAATAAATAAGAAGTGAGTGCTCTAGTCGAGGATCTTACCGCTTGACGCTGACCTCTATCAGGTTCTATGTGTAGACCGGCTAACACCTCCTTTATTCTGCCTCTTTGATTTCTGCTCAGTTGGGCAAAGCATCGTTTTTATTTATCTGCCCTGCAGTACGTCCCATACATGCACGATCTATACAAATTTTCCGCAATGTATATCTAATAGCATCTTCACTCTGCATTTTCGAATTTCTTTGCTAGCTCCTGCTCTTCCGTATTTGCATAACCGTGTACCCTACATGCCATACCGCCCGTTGAAGGTAAACACAGTCTTCCCCACGGTCTAAAACCTCTCATAGAGTGAACCTGAATTGTGGGTGCCTGTCACCAATGGGTGCTCTCGTCCGGCCTGATTCCAGCAATTCTTCATACATACGGAGGTTATCGTCTCTGGCGCCGCCCTGCCGTGCCCGATTTTCATGGATGCAAAATAAGCTAGGTACGTGATATGGTGTAAGCTCACAGCAGACCAGTAGTGGAGCGGATTGGCGTACACGTTTGCTGCGATGAACAACCAGGCCATAATCACGAAGGCCAAGGCGATACTATGCCCGCGAATATATTTCGGCGCCTCGTCTACAAAACAATATCAGGGATTTCGGGCAACTTTAATTGCTCATACATACCAGACGTGTAAGCGAAGGTCGCTATGAAACCTCTGGGATGATCGCGGGCTGGCATGAGATCCTCGATGTTATAATCCGAAAGTAATTTCAGCTTACCCAGTGTTCGCGATCGCTAATTGCAGCGCGGTGACGGTGGCCCTCTTATAGTGGCCCCCACAGTTGTTCGGAAGGATTGACAGTATGCAAGGAGCGGATGGATAACTATTGGAAGATTACACTCGACATGAGTATACCGAGAGAGATATGTACTGAGATCGCGTACATTCCAGCAGCGATAAGGAATACTGCTACGTATCGAGCTTCATTTGTTTGGGCGGCGATCGCGATGATATAACCTAGAATTTCTTCAGCGTGGGGTACTAGTGACAAGGTAAATGAAGGTTACCTGCCATAGCCACTGGCAGACAGATGAGGATGAATGGTCCTCGCCATTTGAATCTGTCACTAAGGAAAGCGACGAAGACTGACCAAGAAATCAGGTCACACTAATGAAGCCTCTCACTACAGTGCTTACTTGTGAGGACGACGGCGGGGACGTAGGGAGGGACTGGAATGCATGGTGTGAGGTGTGACTTCCGAGCTATAAGCGTGACCAAAAATGTATACCGGTGTGCAGTTGAGCGGACGCGCCTTCATATCCCAGACCGGTGACAATCGTCGGCCTGGAGGATTATGAGTCGAGCGCAAGGGCATCGTGGGGCGAGCGCTTACAAGAAGAGGGAAAAGGAGTAGAAGCCAACATTCAAACCTAAGAACGCCAACCCGGTGAACCAAGCTTGTATCTCCGTGAGCCCTGCATCACGTTGTCAGAACTTTCGCCCCTTTCCTAGGGCTGCGGTAATTACCTCGGACTACTTCCCGCCACTCGAATTGCTCTTCGTCGTAGTAAATCGGGACCTCGGCTACCCGGAGTTGATCCGGGTGAGTCTTGTCTTCTGAAGTGCTCTTCTCGGGGTCTGGCGCAGATAAGGCAAGGTCTTCCGAAGGTTTCACCGCGGAGACGCTGTTCATAATGGCGTTCGATCTATGGAAGCGGTTCACTGCGTGATACATTAGTATTTTGTCCTAACATAATTATAGAGGGAACACGCTCACGAGCAAAGGCACGTTCTTCCTCTGTCAGGAATCTCGCAGACTCGATGCTGACGGGAAGCACCGCTGCACATATTAGACCGGCTATGACAGATCCGAGTCCTTCCAGGATAAAGATCCAGCGCCATCCTGCAAGTCCACCGACTCCGTCCATCTTTATGATGGCGGTAGCCAGCAGACCTCCGAAGGCTCCGGACAAAGATACTAAGATCACGCATGAGCAATTGTCTCCAGTGGCATAACTACCATGGAGAATGCGCACCAGCAGCATAGAAGACACTGATACTGGATGAAGTGTGCAGACTGAGCACATTCCGTGTAGTGTATTCTTTGAATTCTCTCACCGCAATTGTAATTCATGCCGCCGGTAAATGGTGGAGAGGTATAACACCTGTCTCTTCAGTTGAGCGTAGATTTGCACGAGATTGGCTAATAAACATACCATGCCCGGAAGGAGACCTCCTTCGCACATCCCGAGTACGACGCGAATGGCCGTTAGACCGGCGAAGTTCTGAACGAGGCCGCTCAGCGTCGTCACCGTGCCGAAGGCGCACACCAGGAAGGGGAGCCATCGTGTCGGGCCAACTTTCTTGATAATCCAGTTGGAAGCTGTGATATGCTCAGTTACCTGTGGGCAGTCGACAACGCTTGTGACTAGACTCACGTAGTTCCACGGCGACATAGCTTGATAGGAAGTTAGTGGATGTGGAACCGACTGAGTATACCCGGATACATACGTGGCGTAGAAAACTAAGAAGGACATAAATTCAGCGGGTTATTTGTTTCAGCTCACGTAGACTTACCCGTCAGCGCAATATTGAATTGATTGCCGACCAAGTGTATATCGCTCTCAAGGCCAACAATCCTCGCATTGCCGGCATTCGACCGGTCAAGAAAATTGGCTAGCCACACCTTTGGTCGCGAGTGAATAACGGTCAGTAGAGAGCGGAGAAGTATTATGAATAGCGTACAAGAGCCAGGGGTGGTAGTATATGCGAGTCGAACTTCCAAAGCACCCGCTTGGTCAGAGCTGCCTGCTTCGCCTTGTCCTCGGGATGGGAAGAAACCATGGCAAACAGATCCCCCTCCAGTGTGTTTTGTGCACATTGGGCTACTTATACCTACACACGGCCGTGGGGCGTAGTATTCATAGACGTTGGGAATCAGAAGTCGAATTTTCACTCGGATGTGGGGCGGACCTCGTACCTTGAGGATCTTTCTTGCGAAGCGCCAAGCCAAGTCTTACATTACTGTTACATGCAGTCAGAGACACTCCACGCGAGAAATGTCCACTTTGGATACTCACCTGATGCGCAAGAAGCGCAGTAGCTATCCAGTTTTTTATACTGAGCATACGTATAGCGCAGAAAAAGGCAAACTGATAAGGGGTCCCTCAGCATTCACAGCTGACTATGGGGTGTGCGATGTTCACTGGCCGGTTTGCCAGATATGCTATTCATAGTTGCCCTTTCCCAAACGTAGGAAAGCTTGTGACACCGTATAACTATCCGACAATGTTCCTATATTTGATTGGACGAGTCATGCAACTGAGAGACTGTAGTAATTGTGGACCTACGTATCGCTCAGCTCGCAGAGTCGACTGCATCGAACCGAGTGCAGGAACGTTGGGGGCGTTGACAGCCAATCAGAGCGAGGCCTGGTTCCCCATCAATGGCACAGCCTCCCAGTCTACCTATTTTGCCACAGTCCGGTAACTAGTACCGACGTCACTCTATTGCCACAGCGCAATTATCCCTTCACCGCTCCGTTCTGCCTCGAATTCGCTTGTATACAGCGTGTATCTGCAAATGGCGAGCCCACCTATGCCAGTCCCCCCTTTTGTTCCGATGGCCGCCCCGCCTCTACCTCCGGGCTGGACTGAACATGTAGGTACGTGCTTTCTGCTGCTTGCCATATCTTCGTCTAACGAGTTGCAGGTCCCGGAGGCCAGCCATACTACTACAATGCGTTCACAAAAGAATCAACCTACGTCCGCCCCATGCCCGTTGCGTTCCCCGTCATCCCGGGGCAGATGCCAGTGCCAGTGCCGCTACAAGCGCAACCCCCGAAGAAGAAGGAAAAGCCCGCGAAAAAAGTGCCTATACCCGGGACTGACTGGATCCGCGTGACGACGACGGAGGGGAACGTGTTCTACACGCACAGGGTCGAGAAGCGGAGCGTGTGGACGGTGCCGGAGGAGATCAAGGAGGCCGTCGCGGCGCTGGAGAAGGAGGGGACGCAGTCTCCGGCGAATGCGAATGCTAAGGGTGGGAAGAAGGAGAGGGAGAGGGACAACGAGCAGGCGAGGGAGGTGAAGCGCGTGAAGAAGGAGGTGCAGGAGGCGGCGAAGCGCAAGGCGGAGGAGCCGGTCCCTGTGGACGAGGTTGTGATCACGAAGAAGGCGAAGGTGGAGGAAGAGGACGAAGAGGAGGAGAGCGAGGAGGAGAGCGAAGAAGAGGAGTGGCAGCGTGAGGCAGCAGCGCAGTTGGCGGCGGAGGCGGAAGAGGAGGAGAGGAAGAGGAAAGAGGCGGAGGAGGCTAGGAAGCAAGCGGAGGCAGAGGAAGCGGAGAGAGCCAAGCAAGCCTTGCCTCAGCTGAACATGCCCGAGAAGGTGGACCTCTCCATCGAGGAAGCCAAGGCACTGTTCAAGGTGCGCAGCATACCCATCGCGATCTCTACGCGTTACTCACTCCGGTACAGACCCTGCTCCGCGAAAAGGACATCAACCCGCTCATGCCCTGGGACACTGCGCTTCCGATCTTCATCTCTGACCCGCGGTACGTCCTCCTGTCGTCTGTCTCCGCGAGGCGGGAAGCGTTCGACGAGTACTGCCGCGACCGCGCGCGCGAGCTGCGCGAGCTGCGCGAGTCGCAGGTGAGGAAGGAGAAGGAGACCGCGGACCCGCGCGAGGCGTACGAGCGCCTGCTGCGCGAGGAGGTGAAGAGCACACGCACGAGCTGGTCGGATTTCCGAAGGCAGTGGAAGAAGGACAGGCGGTTTTGGGGGTGGGGAAGGGACGACAGGGAGCGGGAGAAGAAGTTTAGGGAGTATTTGAAGGAGCTTGGAGAAAGTGAGTGCCCGTATTGCTTCGTCCGGAACCTGACTTACGTTGTCGTTGCAGAGAAACGCGCTGCTGCTCAAAAAGCTGAAGTAGACTTCTTTTCCTTGCTGAAGGAGAGCGGGCGCGCAAAACCTGGGGCTGACTGGAAGGAAGTTAAGAAGCACCTGTACAGCGACCCTCGTTATGATGCTGTGGGGTCTTCTTCGCTCCGAGAGGAGCTATTCAAGACGTTCTTGAAAGCCCAGGGCGTAGGTGAGCAAGCTAAAGATGCGTCGACCGAAAACGGTGAGGTGAAAGAGGAAAAGAGTGCCGAGGACAAGGAGCAGGAGAAACGGGAAAAGAAGGAGAGGGCCGTGCGCGAAAGGGAGGAGAGAGTAAAGGCGGAGCGGACCAAGCTCGAGGCGGATATCAATCGGTCGAAGATGGGCTTGACGATGGAAGAGGGGGAACGGGAGTTTAGGTGCGCCCGTTGTTTTTTAAGAGGACTGCCACTATTAGGTGGGGCGCTCAACAGTGCTCGTTCTTTTACTAAATAGGACTATGCTGGTTGATGCTATACGTGACCCACAGGTATGATACAAGCTGATGGTCGGGCAGTTGACTGACATCTACTTCGCAGATGACATGGGAGCAGGCACTGCCGGAGCTGAAGATCGACCCGCGGTTCACCCGGTCCCCGCTTCCCTACAACCAACAGCTGCACCTCTTCCATTCACATATCGGACGGCTACGTGCCAAGCATCTTGACAACCTGCATGCGCTCTTCGCATCACACTCTCCATCCCTATCGACATCCTTCTCGGATCTGCCCGTTGACTCACTGCTATCGTCGTTGCCCGCAGCAAAACTTGGGTTTGACTCGCAAGCACTGCAGCACGAGTATGAGAAGTGGCAGCGCGAGCGAAATACGGAGGCGCGCGCCGCGTTCGATGCTATGCTGCACGAGAATGCCTTTGTGGAGTTCTGGGGACGGTTGAAGAACATGGGTGGGGAAGGGGCGGACGGCGGGGTGAAGGCGGACCCGCTTGAGGAGGATGAGGGTGAGGGCGGCGGGGGGACTGCGGATCTGAAGGCACTGGCGAAGACGATTGATATCAGAGAGATCGAGAAGGTCCTAAAGGTATGTTCGGACGATGATTGTTTGTGATGCCAGTGTTGACGGTCACTTGCAGAATGACAAAAGGTATAATATGTTTGACCATGTACCAGAACAGCGCGAGCGTTGGGTCAGGGTGAGTACGCTCAAGTTTCCTATGTCATGCATCGCAAGAAGACTGACCACGTATCTTCAGGACTATCTTGCGGGACTGTCGGCACCAAAGTTGTCGGTGCATGTACCGGAGCACTCGCATTAATGGTCTGCACATTTGTTTTGTAGTTAATTTCTTTTGGCATATCTACTCGATAATGGTCCCCCGTATGTTCTGTGGCGGCCAATGAAGATCTGGTCTCGAAGATTCCGGACGAATCTGAGAGATCTGTGATGCGATCTGTGATGAGAAGCGCTGTTTCCACGTGGCCAGCACTGGACATCGATCATGCCGTGAGCTTCTCGGTACCGTGACCAGCACGTCCACCCGCGTCCGAGTTTCTGACACGTCAGCGCGTTCTCTCCTTCGCACGTATATCTGCAAAATAATTAGCTGGTCAGAGCTCGGTGCTCTCGTCCGACATGCGACTCATCCGGCCCTTGCTCGTGTCGCTCGGTCTGCTGGCGTCCTGTGCCTGCGCGCAGGACGTCCCGGACTTGGACTCGCCTGCTGTCCCCAAGGAGAAACACAGCTATCAGGTGTGTTATATATGACTGGTCGCACGTTAGCGGGCTAAACACTTGTACAGAGTGATGTTGCTCGTTTGCGCAAGATCGTCATAAACAGGTAGCAGCACAGGCCTTCCGTCGTGGTAGCTATGTACTCACCATCCTTGTACCGCCAGTCTATATTCGCATCGGTGCGTCGGGTCGGCCGGTGATCAATACAGCTACTTGATTTCTCTACAGCGACATATTCATCCGTGAACTGATATCGAACGCCAACGACGCTTTGGAGAAGCTGCGTCTCACGGCACTAACTGACCCGACGATCAACTATGGTGCTGACGGTCTGAATATCACCATCAAGACAGTCAAGAACCCCGATGGTTCAGGTGGAAGGTTGATCATCGCTGGTGAGTGCCCTCGACTGCCTTAGCGGCGACGGCGTATCATCCCCCCTACAGATACCGGTATTGGTATGTCACCGGAAGAGCTCACCACGAACCTGGTATGTACTGTGATGTTCTCTCTGCGAATCTCTCTGAATACGGCTACACGTGCAGGGTACCTTGGCGAAATCCGGCACGTCTGATTTCCTCGCGCGGGCCGAGACTTCAGACACGACTGGGCAGGGCAACCTCATCGGCGCCTTCGGTCTTGGTTTCTACAGCAGGTACGGTTCTTCTATCAATCTACATGACTTGAATATCTCCGTTGACTACTTCTATAGTTTCTTGGTCGCAGACCGTGTCTACGTGTCCTCCATTCCGCCCAAGTCCGCCAAGAACCCTAACCCTACGCAAAATGTCTTCAGCTCCTCCGCAGATGACAGCTCCTTCGAGACGTACCCCGATCCAAGAGGGAACACGCTCGGGAGAGGGACAGAGATTACGCTCGTACTGAAGGAAGATGCGTCGGAGTACCTCGACCAGAAGACTATCATGGACCTCGTGTGCGTACCCTTATTGAATAGCCTTCATGTTAGAGCTCACGAGGCAGCAGTCAGAAACACTCGTCGTTCTCTTCGACATTCCCCATCTATCTCCTGACGGAGAGAACGGAGGAAGTCCCCGTCGAAGATGAAGAGTCTGAGAAGCCCGTCCCGGAGAAGGACGACGAGGACGAGGCCGTCATGGAAGACGAGAAGCCGGAGGAGAAGAAGGCGCCCAAGACGAAGACCGTCACCGTCGAGGAGTGGGTGCAGCTGAACCCCGAACCGCCGATCTGGATGCGGTGAGTACTGAGTCGCTCTGTGATCACGGTGTATGACTTAAACTGAGGGGTATCCAGGGACCCGAAGGACGTCTCGGAGGACGAGTACGAGCGGTTCTACCAGGCTACGTTCAAGGACTACGAAAAGCCCCTGGCGTGGCACCACTTTGCCGGTGACTCCGGGTCCGGCGTCTCCTTCAGGGCTATCATATACATTCCTTCGCGATTGTAAGTGTGCCGTCTAATGCTGATTGCCGTACGATGATTGACGAAGGGCGTTATACCCTTCTCGATCCAGGGATGAGTCGTTCTGGCAACAACCAGTGCAAGGCAGCTCTAAAGACCTCAGGTTGATGGTCAAGCGCGTTTTTATTACGAATGATCTGGGCGAAGATAGCCTGCCGAAGTGGGCCAGCTGGGTCAAAGCAATAATCGACGGTTAATCGCCCCCGCCTTCTTCCTTCCGCATCATCTGTCCTAATCAGTTTACTCGCACGTAGCCGAGGACCTCCCGCTGAACGTCTCCCGCGAGACCCTGCAGTCCACGAAATTCCTCAAGCAGATCCGCTCCATCATCCTGCGGCACATCATCCAGATGCTCACGAAGCTCGCAGAGGAGGACCCGGAGAAGTTCGACAAGGTCCAGGAGGCGTACGGGACGGTGCTCAAGCTCGGCGCGGCGGAGAATGTGAAGAACAGGGAGAAGCTGGCGGCGCTGGCGAGGTTTGCGAGTAACCAGCGGGAACGGACGTCGTTGGATGAGGTAGGTGGTGCGCGCTGTTGTATGTGTGAGAGGTTGATTGATTTATGGATGGGTATAGTACCTTGAGAATAAGAGGAAGGGCCAGAATCAGGTTTGTTTGCGCGGGTGTTCGGGGGTTGCTTTTGCTGACAAGTTCTCTCAGATCTTCTACCTCGCGGATATTGGGAAGTCCACCAAAGCCTTGGCCGATAGTGTCTTCGTGGAGAAGTTGACGGCGAGGGGGTACGAGGTCTTGTTATTGAACGAGCCGCTGGACGAGATCCTTGTTCAGAACATGAAGCGCTGGAAGTGAGCCATGCCAGGTCGCTGCATTTTTGTTTTACGAGCTGACGGGTACCCTTACTAGGGGCCTGCCGTTCCACGATGTGGCGAAAGCAGGCTTGGTCTTTGGAGACGAGGGTGAGTGTCGAATTTGTGTGCATGGCCCCGCAGGGAACTCAACTTGCCTCCTCGCAGACTCTGACCCTGAAGACGAGAAGGAGCAACAAGAGATATTGAAAGAGCGCTTCAAGCCTCTGCTCGATTACCTGAAGAAGGAGGCCCAGGACCTAGTTCGTGATGGTACGCCGCTGTGCTGCTGTTGTGGCCGAGATGTGTGCTGATCACTCACTGTCGGGACAGTGGTGATTTCGAATCGCCTGGTGACGAGCCCGTGTGCTATCGTCGCAGACAAGTTTGGCTATACTGCTAATGTTCAGAAAATGATGAGTGCGTACTGCTACAAAGAACCTTTGCTTCTTCCTGCTCATCAAGTTCATGACAGGTGCATCGAACAGCAAACAGGCCCAGAACCCGATGTTCGAGTTCGCGAAGAAGCAGAGACTGCTGGAGATCAACCCCCGATCTCCTCTGATTGAAGGCCTTCTCCGTCGGGTCGAGCAGCTGCCATCGGAAGACGAAGAGCGCGATATCGAGGCTGAGGAGGACCTCAGGGAGGTGACGTCAATCCTCATCGACGGAGCACTCGTACGGTCTGGATTCGACGTACCCGACTCGAACGAGTAAGTATTATAGTCGCCGCATTTACAAGAAAATTGACAAATAAATCTTGGTAGGTTTTTCAAGCGCGTAGATCGGGTCCTCAGGCGATCACTAGGCGTGTCGGAGACAGCGCAAGCCGACGACAGTGTGAAGCCTGCTCCCCCCGTGGACCCTAGCTTGCCTCCCGATATACCCGACCATGGACAAATCCCATTGAAGTTCGAGGATCCGGAGAAGGTTGGTGTTGAGCTGCCTGAGCATTTGAAGGACAAGGTCGAGATTATGATGGAGGAGATTGACGAGGAGGGGAATCCTGTCCACCATGACGAGCTGTAAAGGGAAAATGTGAAGTAAATTGGGATCTTTGTGTTAAATTATAGGACGCTACATTTGACTCCATTCTATCGACTGGGAAAGAGGAAATACATAACAGACATGGACAATATTGCTCGTATCCTCGCGAGCCTGGAGAACGCCAAACTGCAGGCTGAACCTTCCAGTGCATGGAGGACTATTTCGGTCCGGGACACGTGGCGCTGGATGTTACTGGCTCGGCCCTAATAACGAGGCCGTTACAAGCTCTTGAGACCCGTACCCATGCGCTCCGGTGCATTATACCCATCTTATTCTTGACACTCACCCGCAGTCCTTGACTGCTCTTTACGATGACTGCTTTCTCCCGTCTGCAGCTTGCAGCAGCCCTTATAGGTGCGATATCCGTTCGTTGTACCGAGGAATGACGCGCTGACCTGTCTACTGTATCGGCAGAATATGACAACGATCCAAGCAATCCCAACGCTCCCTTCCGTTCAGCTCATGACAGCGCCATATTTGCCCACCTTCGCCGCAATAATGCCCCCCGTCCCGGGTCTCGTAAGAGCACCGACTACCTGGGCGTTGCATTGCCCAGCGAAGCTGGCAGCGTTAGCGGACGCGAGTCTGCTATGGATAATAGGAGGTCCCGTGGCTCTATGGACGCGCTGCGGAATCCTTTTGGGGCGGCAGAGGAGGAAGTTGAACCGGAGCATGAGCCCGAGCATGAAGAGGATTTGGATATTGATCTCGCATCATGGGGATTGGACGCATTTATCAAGAAGGAGAAGGCCCCCAAGAAATCTGCTGCAAAGGCCAAGTCAGATGTGCTACCAAACCCTCATCCAGTGAAGCTTGAGGAAAACTCGGCTGGGCCGTCTCGTCGTCCAGTCCCCTCAGGCTCCAGATCAATGAGCGTGAGCGGACTAGACGGTTTCGGAGAAGGAGGTGCGTTCCTCGAGTCCAAGTCTAATATGAGACCCGATATGCCTAGGAGGGCGTCATTTGGATCCCCTCTCGACTTCCCTGAACGTAAGACGGATTCACCGCGACCTACACATGAACGCGCCGTGTCGCATCATGCGTTGATAGCGAATATGCCCACAACCCCTCCACTGCACTCGGTTCCATTCCCATCCCAGTCTACCGACGAACTCAATAACATACCGCGGCTTCCCTCGCCAGACAGAGGCTCGGTATACTATCCACGGGGCCCGGGTGCGCATGGTCGCACGACGTCGCACGGCACAATGGCTACCATGGCTTCCAAAGCACTTCTCAATGACGAGAACAGTCCGTTCGCAGTACGCCCTCCTTCCCCGTCACGTTCATCTCGGTTCGATCCGAAGGCCATGGCACATGCACGCACCATGTCAAACGCGTCTTGGGGCACTCAGGCACTACTTAATCGCGACGATGCAGTTTCCGTGGCACCCAGCGGTATGGAGCGCAACCAAGAGCGCCGCTACTCCAAGTGGGATCTCATGCGCCCCAAAGTCCTCGTCATGCCTAGTCCACTCCAGGGCACCATGCCTATGAAATCCGGGCCACCGCCAGTCAGGTCCAAGGACGGTTTCGAGCTCAGTACTGATGGGCGTCCGCTGCCGCCCGGTGCTCGGGCCTCTCGACGGGTCTCGGGTGTCTTATCGCCCATCCAGCCATCCGCCCCCATCGCCTCCAACTCATTTACTCCGAATCCTCGCACGAGCTTGACCTTATCGCAGTTGACCTTCCGAAACTCGCTCATGGTAGATGGCCAGAGAGATGTTGCTTATGCAGATATCGAATCGCAGCTCCCTCGTGCTACCGAGGATGGACAGCAGGTTGCACTCCCCACCCCGGTGCTGGAGGAACCTGAGATCCCTTTGCCGGTTGTTACTGAGCCCGAGCCTGAGTCTAACCAGCCTAGAAGGCCTCCCGGCAAGCTCTTTGGGACAAGTCTCATAGACAATCTGGAGGCACGAAAGGCAGAAATGCGCAGCAGACAGCGGTAAGGCGACTGTGCTATCAGTTCTATTCGGTTACTTACACTCAGTGTGCGATTATAGGGTGTTTACTGGTGATGAGAGGCCGTCCATGATGGCGCGCGGTTCCATGCACCGATCTAGTACGCTGATAGACCCTGCTTCCCTTGGAAGACCGACTTCTCAGCATATGAACTCCTTCAATTCCGAGCCTGCTCTTCAACGCAGGAACTCCGCCGGTGGCCAACCTTTGCTCAGCTTCGACGACGACAAGAAGTTGTCGCCAGGGCCCGCTCTGGACGTACGAATGCCCAAGAGTCGGTCTGTATTCGGCGTGGATACTCTCTGGGAGCGGGAGATGGCGAAATTGAAAGAAATCGAAGAGCGGGAACGGGCCGAAGCTGAAGAGCGGAGGAAGCGCGAGGAGGCCGAGGACGCTAAACATTCCAAGAAGAGGAAGGGCAAAGGAAAAGCTGTTGATGCGCCACAGGGTCTTTCGCCTTCCCCGTCACCAGCTGAACCTGCAAGTCCTGTCATACGAACGTCCGCCTCTCCCCCTCGGCTGCCTGATATCCCATCCGCGACGACTCGGCGTGCGCCTCCGCCAGTGGACGACGACGGTGATGATGGTGATAGCGACTCCGATAGCGGGAGTGAGGTTGGCCAAGCGCCGGTGGCGCAGTCCGTTCGTGGTGATAATACAGGATGGGCGTCAGATGAAGAAGCAGGCCCTATCAGAACCACCGGCACTGGACCGCGATTCCGTCCTCGGAAGAACAGTCGTCCGGAGATTTTCGAGAGTAAGGCTGATGATAGTGACGACGAGGATGTTCCTCTTGCTGCAACGTTACGCCTCCCCTCCCAGAGACTAACTGCGCGCCCTCCTGAGAGCGACTCAGAGGAAGATCGGCCTCTGTCGAAATTGCTGACGAAAGGCATCTCCACTCCTGGCGGGCTGTCGCCAAGGCCTTCCACAGCAGCCAATTCGAATGGTGGCGATGACGACGATGACAAGCCTCTGGGTCTTCGCGCGTCCGTTTTACCTCCTTCGTTACCTCCGTTAGGACTGTCCTCCATGTCTAACAAGGGTAACGATGATGACGATGAAAGACCCTTGGCTCTCCATCCCGAGCGCCAACGGAGAACCCAGTACAATATGATGGCACAGCAGCAGCAGATGATGATGCAGGCGCAGATGACGGGTTCCATGTTCTTCACACCTCCTATGATGGGCATGGGCATGGGATCCGGTTTCTTCGCTCCATCGATGCCACAAATGATGATGCCTCCCATGCCCGTAACTTCACCACCCCCTCCAGCACCTCTGCATGATGCAGCAAAACTTAATCGAGTCGATAAGTGGAGGCATGATGTTGCGGTAGAAGGGCCAGAGTAGTGTTTCATATTTTTTGGCAAGCTTCGGGACTATTGCATTCATCCACAGGTTCCTGGGACTGAGTCGTCGCTCTGGGACTATGTCTCCACGCATGTACCATACAATACCATTACAGCATCCTCTAATATTACTGTAATACACACAAGAAGTACAGCGGCAAGAAGTGTCCGCATAGATCTATGCTAAATAAATGAGAGGTAATGCTGTGTGTTGATGGCAATGTAGTAATGAGACCTCGCCTATAAAATGCATGTGAATGTAGAGAAAGACAGCAGTCGATGGTGGGGTGTCATGAGGGATTTGTGATCCATAGCCTCCGTTTAGGAACAGTGACGATGGATACTTCCCTCCTGGCCATCTCGTCTTCAATTCTCCGCTGTCGGGTATCTTCATCTTCGTCATCGTCATCGTACCCTTCCTCCGTACTACGAGGGCCTGCGTGGGACATGCTTGCGTAGTCCTCCGTCGCAGACCATACTTGAGGTTGATGGATATATGGGCCGCGAGGATCCGCAGTAGGGAACGGATACTGATCCAAAGCGAAACTCGAGGCTGGACGAGAGGGTGTAGAGGGCACGGTCTGCTCTCCGCGAAGACGAGCTAGAACAACAGTGAGAACGGAACCCCGTGGTCTTCCTCTCCATGATAGAATAAGCAGCAAGCCGTAGAATATTGCAGTCCATGCAACGAATATCGCAAACCCGGCAATAGGTGCATAATACCACAACGCGACCAATGTCAAGATAAGGAGTCCAAGCAAAGAAAGGTGGAAAAGGAGTCGTATGAGGATCTCAAATGCGGGCGGCATGCTCTGGACCTGGAACTGGTCTACAGCACCTGAGGCGTTCATGAGTCCATTTGTACTCCGAATATCGGCCGTGACCGGGGTCGATGCAGCGCCACCACCTAACTGGCTTAGAGCGTAGTCCAGCTCTCCCTGGAGGGACTTTGGTGAGCATCCAGAAGCCAACAAAGCAAGTAGAACACTTACAACCGCATTGAGGCTCCTCCGTCGCTCCAGCCAGCTAAGGTCTGATAAGCTACGGGGAGCAATCGGGACCCTTTGATAATTCGGATCGTTTGAGAACGGCGAGAGGCTATTGCCACTGGAATGGCGAGGGCGATTGGGACGGTTCACCACCTCGAAGGAACGTTGAGGTCCAGATGAAGTCACTGTATCCGCATGGCTTTCGCTGGAACGCCTCCCAGATCGCCCTCTAAGCGCAGGGAATAAGCCTTGGCCACCCCAAGAGTGGAGCCTCTTGTGATGACCAACCCCTGGTGTCGAGCGGCCACTGAGAGGCGGCGTCTCAGCTCCAGGGCTATTGAGCTTCTCGGCGGTATCCCGGGAGTGTGAGCGGGCTCTACCTCCGGTTGGAACTTCCGGAGAATCAGATTCACCTTGAGGTGAATGTCGATGGGAATATCGCCACCCGGCGTACACCGCCATCAACAAGGGTACAAGTCCATACAGACAAAGGAATAGGGCAATACCCGCGCGTCCATGAGCGGTCGTCAGTACAGGTCCATGAGTGGACCTTTTCATGAGGCCTACAGCCAGGGCCTTCTGGGACGTGAAGGCCACAACGAGACCGCCGATGCCAATACCCCATGAGAGCACAGTTAGCAGAGTGCCGCCATAGAATAATGCGACGTGCTGGTCATTTGCTTGAGACCCTAACGCAGGCGAAGAAAGGCGATAGGCCAGGACGCCAATGGTCAGCAGTCCCAAGGAAAGGGGTGGCAAAAGCTTGTGGAGCGTAGACGTATCCAACCTTGTAGCCGTTGTGGATGTAGAACTTGGCGAAGCGGGACCTGACGAGGGTGTCGGGTAACTGGACACTGAAGACTGCAGTGCTACAGCGCATCGCGTCATGTACTGGATCGTGACTCCCGTTCCATCCGCGCCAGCGCCGCTCTGCAGATCACCGTCCCCATATCCAGACCAGTGTTGGTTCGACTGCGTGATAGAGCCGTTGTATGCACGCAGAAGCCACACTTCGTTGGTGTAATTGCCCGAGACGCCGCGACCGCCGAACACGATAGTATCCGAGGCGGCTGCACGATTCGGACCAACGAGAGCAGCATTATATGAGAGTGCCGCTGCGCCTTCGCGAGGTGAAGGGAAGTTCGGGTTGACGTCAGGGTCGCCAGAGGGCAATATTCGGGCCCAAGTGCCCCCATTGATATCCAAAACATCCTATAGTAAGGAATTTGATTGAGCGGTTAGTAGTTGGACCTTAGGCTAGGAGAAGACTGTGCGTACAACTTCGCCCTTCTGAAGTCCTCCGTCATCGTTCCAAAGCGTATCGTTGAAAATACCAAGCAATACAAAGACTTGGGAATTGAAGGAGGAAGAGTCCCCATTTGTATTCGCGACAACCGCTGGGCCTACGCGAGGCGCTGGACAAGCATTAGGCGCGATAACATTGCCTGAAGCTGCGGTGATAACATAAGAGTCCTGTTGCGCGCAGGAGTCGTCCGCGGACGTGGAATTGCAACCTCCAATTGATACGATCTGGTCGCCGACTACAGCCCCGCCTTGGTAGATTTTAGGCGTGAGTGAATCGTGCACCGACACTCGCTGCCAAGTCCCTACTACGGACTGGTCATTCGGTGATAGTGTTCCGGTGATGTTCAGCTCCCATACTTCCGATAGCGGGTACAGATTACTTCCGCTTGATCCTCCGGAAAGATAAAACGTGGTATTCGGTGCTGGGAGCGTTGGAGAGGAGACGGGTTTGACTTGGAAGTCTATCCCCCCAGAAGCACCTCCTCTAGCGGAAGGCCCGTCTCCGGAGACAGTTACCTGTGCCCAGAACTTATAATCATAGTCGAATTCCTGCGTCACAACACATTGGTCAGCTGAGATGACAAGGAGAAGCTTGCGGGCATGACTTACCCACACATCGGAGAGACCATTGCCGTTCGCATCCTTCCCTCCAATAAGAATGTGTCCGCGCCGACTGAAGGGGGGGATAAGAGGAAATGTGATACGAACGGTAGGTATTACTCACTAGCTGGCACCCGAATCGAGTCCACCTATAGCTCCGCTCCTCGCGGACGGGACTGAAGTGAGTCCATCAGGACCAGTAGGCTGCGACCAGGTAAGAGTATCCAAGTTCAAGCTAACCCATGTCACATAGAGTCAGCACGAACAAACGGCCACGAAACGACACGCGACGCACAGGTATGTTTGTTGCTGAGGATACCCTCCTTGTGACTCCCCTCCAAATATGAGAAGACTACGGCTTGTCTCATCGTAGCCAATGGACGCGTACATAAGAGGCGGCGGGGCTGATCCCGATAGATGTGGCGTTAAATTAATCCATTGCAGCGGCGGTACAGGGAGATTCGTAGAGATAGTTTGCCCGCATGAAGACCACGGCCACGAGAGAGCGAAGAATAGCGAGAGAGTAAGACGGCATAACGAACATCTCCTCGCCATAATACTGGCAAACGATTCAGCGTGGGCGGCTTGAGCAAGCCAAAGCTCGCGACGAGCAATAGAGAGTGGCACGGTTTGCCAGAGGGATCGATGGAGGTGGTTGGCAGTCCTCCCGCGGCGGGGTGACCTCCCACGCGCTCAGGCTGCATGTGTAACATTGCGTTCCGCGACCTTCCCTTTCGCACGTCGCGCAGTGCCTGCCGAAACATATGGAAGTTTCATGACTTCGTAAACCTATTTCTGCTCTGTGCATCTCTCGAAATAGGGCTCTGGCTCCATCCGGGAGCAGTTTTAGTCCCAGGAAGGCTATATATTAGCTACCCTTGAACTCGGGCGAAGAGACGGTCAGTGAAATAGCCTAGTGTATATGTATTCTATGAGAAGGGAGTGCTGAATTGTACTGGATGCCTGCAAGAAGAGTATAACAGACCTCCAAGTGTACTGTTGCAGAGGCATAAGCCCGGGACTCGAAACATTGACATGCATATCACTCAGACTTGAATTCATACGTCGGGTATTTCTCGGCATAGGTATTAGCACCAACTTCGTGACTGGACCAATCTTGAAGCTTGAAGGTGGAAGGTGCAACTATTCATTGTCCGGGCGATCATGTTAGTGATCCAAGCTGACTCGCCGGTGGCTCCCAAGGTATGTAGCTATTCAACCAGGGTAACAAGGATTGTTCCAGCTTATTGGCCAGCGAAGATCGGGGCAGCGTGCACGCCACTCAGAAAAGGTAGTTTCTGCGACCTTCGAGACGAGCGTCGCGGGTACACGAATCATGTGTCCCAATTGCTATCAATGTGTTCCGCGTCCTCAGTCGGTAGAAGAGCTGGCCCCAGCTGGCTCGGGCGTATGCGCACTCTAGAAAAGGAAGAAACGGCTATCGACCCAAATCCAAGCCCGACTCATGCTGACGAAGTAGCTCGCATGTTGGACCTGATACCTACGCCATATACACGTACCACTGCATGGAATCCGCAAACCATAGTTCACTGGAGGAAGATCGTTCTTCATCCTGCACACAAGACTTTTTTCCGTATGCTGTTATTCGAGGGATTCCGAAGAAGGAAGTACCACCGGAAACAATGGAAGTCGTAGTCATTGGAGTCGACATTGCCAGTTAGGTATTGCATTCAGATGGCGCATCTCTTCAATTTACTAAGATAGATGTACTGGTATATCCTCTTACAGCGACACAAAGTGCATACAGCAGCAGTCTCCAGTTAGTTCATGTACTTGGAATCGCGGGAGAAGCGACAAGTGTATTCCGGAAAGACGCGATCTGTCACGGTCGCGTGCTTAGCGTGACCGGCCTTCAAGTCATTCTCCGAATCTACCATACTTGGGCGTCCGGCTTCTACGGAGCAACGTCTTTGCTATTGCGCCCCCGCGTAAACATGACCAAATATTACCTTTTCGAGAAGAATATCATGTGACCTCCGACCCCTCCGGCCGCGTCACTAAAAATAACTGGACCCAGCCGTATTAAGTAAACGCCAATTACATTGCCATGATATATTTTTAATGTGTAAGATATGCATCGCTTCTTTAGTGTAGTGGTTATGCGGCGTGCATTCAGCACTGGACGTCTAGAGTTCAATTCCTACTGTGCACATTTTTTGATTTGTGCTTTTAGGGTTAGGGTTTATTAACTTTCCTTACTGTTGACTTTTATATCTACCTTGTCAGCCACATGTATCACAGCTATATAGATTTCAATGAAAATTTATTTTGCTCCATCTATATGACCCTCTTAGTCCAGACTTGAAGATACTCTAAGTGGCCGGACACGCGCGCGGAAATGCGATGTTCAGTTTCTTATGCAAAGCACTGTAGGAGAAACACCTCTATCCTGTCTATCGGCCGTGCGAATGACCGTGATAAGGCACTGTGATGGCGTTTAGGACGGC